AGAATTAGAATAAGATTTAGCATAAGGATTTTTATAAGATTTAGTAGAAAAAGTAGTATTAATTGTTTTCGTGTCGTTACGATAGTACGATTTCGGCAGACACGCATCCGAAATCTTATTCAGTTTAAAGAGTTAGAGTTATCGACAGCGTCGTCGTTATCATATGTCATGTGCATAGGCACAGAGTTGGAACTAGAATTGGAAATAGGGTTACGACTTATAAAATTAGAATTATTATTTGGGCTACGATTTATATAATTAGAGTTATGATTAAAGTTTTTATTAAAATTTTGACGTTGTTGCATATTATATTGTCGCTTTCTACATTGATCAATAGTGTGCCCTATGTTTTTGCAATAATTACACATTAATTTACCAGAATTAGAACTAGATAAATGCGAAATTTGTTTATTATGATTATGATTAGAATGTTTTTTATTTTTAAAACATTGAATAGCAACATGGCCTACTTTATTACATATACTACACTGTTTTATTGAATTTTTTGAACACGTTTGGAGATTTTGTAATTTTTCCTCTTCTATCGCTAATTGAACAGCTTCATTTAGAGTTTGAGGGTTCCTACATCTAACAATAGTAGAAATAGCAGGATTTAACCCTAACAAAAATGTATTTAATGCTAGATCCTCCATGGCGGCTATTCTACCTGGAAGCTCATCAGCGTTTTTGCAACTATAGTGTATATCTGATTGAATTTTTGTTAAAATTTGTTCTAATTTTAAAGAAAACTTAGTGACGTCCTCGGATGACTGTTTACAGTTTTGCAAGTCTGATAGTAAATGTGTCGCGTGTTTTTTCTCCCCAAAAGTAGAACGGAGAAATGATTTTATTTGATTCCATGTTTCAAAGGTTTTTAAACTACATGCAACTTGTGCTTTTCCCTCTAGTTGTGAGATGATGAATTTGCACAGAATAGGCTGTTGTTCTGGTGTAGCTAACGACATTGCATTGTCGCAGTTTGTAAGAAAAGCGGGTAGGGAATCTTTCTCCCCATTATAGGATTTTATAAATTTCGTCAAGAATGAAAGCGTGATTCTTTCCGACATATTTTCTTTACCTTTTTCTGCTTTAAGCGACATAGAATTAAATTTTAAATATTAAACTTATATAAAATAATCACAATAAAACAACGTAAAAGATTGGTAGTAGTACAGAAACAGCGTAAAATAAAAGTAAATTTTAAATTTAAACAGAATACAAAATGACTTACAGAATGGTAATAATTTCTACACGTAGCATTTAAGCGTCGTAACAATAGCCAGGTGAAACGTTACACTCGTGGCGGCTGGCAGGCGAGATCGCTGACGCGGTGACTCCGTCACGTCGTGGGAAATAGCAGGACCGGAAGGCGTAGAAAGTTCTTGAAATAATTTTTGTTGGTGAGTTAGATCCAGCTGGTGCGGGCTCCTGGTGGAGACTTATCGTCGACCAGACGGGAGATTTCAGGACCAGGTGTAAGTGGAGCGGGCTCACGCTTCAGAGCGGAGGCTGATCGTCGTCCAAAATTGTGGTAGGTGCAGGCTTAGTCACGGCTAAGGCTTAATGTCGACCTTGATGATTTCGGGGACCTCGGATTCGGATGCCAATGTCTTCAATGACTTTCTGTTTGGCATCCCACTTCTGACACCAATTTGTTAGGAGGCCGATCCCGTTTGACTTTTTAAAAAAAAAACCACAAGGTAAACCTAAGGGTTTATTATAAAAAGTTTACACACACAATTAATATTAACCCTGACTTCCGAACTCTAATACGTATCGGAATCTATGTCCGATCTACCCGGGGCTCTGAATCTAACTAACTGTAAAATGGAATGAAATTAATATGGAAAAGAACAATGCAATTACTGATTGACGTCATATATAGGAAAGGTACCGTGGGATTGAATAAATGCTTACTAAGATTTAACTGCGTTGTAAAAAGGGATATAACAGAACGAAAGTTACTTCATCATCAAGACAATTTTATGAGGATAAGCCTTGTTCTTTATACCATGCTATTTGGACTCATAGTTTAACAGATAATGTAAAATTAAAATAATTCATTACTTGGCTGGGCCCGCAAACGGCACATAAACCTTAGCCGCCCGGTGAGAACTGCGAGAACTGCTCAACCGGGAGGGGGAGGGAAAGTGGATAAAACTTAACTTCGCTCTACATCATACATAATATGCGGACAGATAAAAGTGCTCCATTAATTATGCCAAATTTTCCATCCATTGCTATCAAATAAAATATTTAATTGCAATTATAAAATGTTGAACTAGGTCATGTCGCGCACCTCCAACATGTGATAACGCGGATGAAACCGCGGGGCACAGCTAGTTACTTATATAAATATATTACAAAAGCGTTACAAAAAACAGTGTGTATCGTGAAGACACACGACAGAAGTGAAACTTTTGTATTACAGGGAAACATTTCAATTATTCATCAATGACTTTTGAATAACATAGATGGTGTGTATCATTCATTTATTTACATAAAATTATATACAGATGTGTCACAGTGCATCATCTTCTTCGATCTTAAGAAGAGACATATCTGTTTTGTTTGTTAATTAGGTAATTACTATTTATTATATACGTATTTTTTTCACGCACAATCCCTGACGGGGTAGCCAGAGAGAACAGATCGCCAAGTGTCACGATCCTTACAAACCTCTTTCGCTTCTTTCAGATTCATTATCTTCTTCATGCATGCACGTCTAGGTATCCGAGTACTTTTGACCCTACCCTCTTCGAGCAATTTGCTCACATGGTCTTCGAAAGTTAGTCTCGGTCTACCTCGACACCTTTTAATATTAACTTTCGCGCTATATATTTTCTTCACCATTCGGTCTTCACTCATTCGCTCAACGTGCCCAAACCACCGAAGCACGCCCTTATCAATTTTTGTGATAAGGTCATCTTTCAAACCTGCCATATTGCGAATCTCTTCGTTTCGCTTTCGGTCGGCCATGGTAACGCCGCACATTTTACGAAGAGATCGCATCTCCACTGCATTCAACTTACTTTTATGCTTCTTCTGGCATACCCAGGTTTCGCTGCCATATAACAAAGTCGGTACCAACACTGCGTTATGTATTGCAAGGCGTGCACTCTTCGCTACGCCTTGCCTTTTGACTAACGCAGTCAGGGCACCATTGACTTTGTTCCCGGCAGCGACACGCCTGTCCACATCTAAATCACATCTTCCATCCCGGCTAAAAGCACTCCCCAAGTATTTTTTAATAGCACCATCTATTTCTTTTTTTCTATAAGTAGTTTATCAAATCAAAATTGGTTAACTCTCATGGTGGTACGTAGAAAAGACGCTAGATGGCACTAACACAAAAAAATTATTAAGATGGTTGTCTAATCCATTCCTAAGAATCCATAATTTCAAAACTCACCCATCAATATTATTTTTTGGGTTTATGCCATTTAGCATCTATTATACGTACCACTTTTGAGAGTCAATCAATTTTTATTCGATAAAATGACTTTTACTATAGAATGTTACTACATTGTATTGATGATGGTGCTATTACTCAAATGGGATCACTCTTTCTCAAAATTATTTATAAATTAACTAATAGCAATAGAGGTGGAGCAAATTCGGATTCTGCTGGAGCATTTAAGGAGCAAATAATTGGCATACAGTTTAATTTTAAAACGTAGATATTTTATGTTTTATAGCAAAATTGAATTGTCGATACTTAAATTTTTTTAAAATTAATTATAAATTAACTAATTACAATAGAGGTGGAGCAATTTCGGATTCTGCTGGAGCATTTAAGGAGCAATTAATTGGCATACAGTTTAATTTAAAAAGTAGATATGTTATACTTCATAGCAAAATTAAATTTTTGATACTTAATTTTTTTTTAATTAATTATAAAATAACTAATAACAATAGAGGTGGAGCAATTTCGGATTCTGCTGGAGCATTTAAGGAGCAATTAATTGGTATACAATTTAATTTAAAAAAATAATGTTCTACACTAACTTCCTTCTGGTTATTTTTTTAAAAATTAATTATAAATTAATTAATAACAATAGAGGTGGAGCAATTTCGGATTCTGCTGGAGCATTTAAGGAGCAATTAATTGGTATACAATTTAATTTAAGAAAATAATGTTCTACGCTAACTTCCTTCTGGTTATTTTTTAAAAAATTAATTATAAATTAAGTAATAGCAATAGAGGTATAGCAATTTCGGATTCAGCTGGAGCATTTAAAGAGCAAATAATTGGCATATAGTTTATTTTTAAAAACTATATATTTTCTGTTTTATAGCAAAATTAAATTTTCGATACTTACATTTTTTAAAAATTATTTATAAATTAACTAATAGCAATAGAGGTGGAGCAAATTCGGATTCTGCTGGAGCATTTAAGGAGCAAATAATTGGCATACAGTTTAATTTTAAAACGTAGATATTTTATGTTTTATAGCAAAATTGAATTGTCGATACTTAATTTTTTTTTTAATTAATTATAAATTAACTAATTACAATAGAGGTGGAGCAATTTCGGATTCTGCTGGAGCATTTAAGGAGCAATTAATTAGCATACAGTTTAATTTAAAAAAGTAGATATTTTATACTTTATAGCAAAATTAAATTTTTGACACTTAATTTTTTTAAAAATTAATTATAAAATAACTAATAACAATAGAGGTGGAGCAATTTCGAATTCTGCTGGAGCATTTATGGAGCAATTAATTGCCACACAGTTTAGTTAAAAAAAAAAATGTTCTACGCTAACTTCCATCTGGTGAATACAAGAATGTTAATGTTATATAAATAAAATACATGTTTTTATTACAATAAGCTTAAAATTCATAAACTTTTTAAAATTTGACAATACCGTCGTCGGCGACGGTATTGTCAAATTTTACTGTTAGATGCAAGGACATACTAAATCGTACCAACACCCATTTTTTTGTATTTAAATCATAATGCCTCACAACTTAAGATTACTAATATGGTAATTGTAGGTGCATCAAGTATATACAAGATATTTGGACATGGAGGACATTGACCCCACGCTAGCATATGTTCAATACATGAAGTTCGCACGTCGGGCTGAAGGCATCAAATCTGCCAGGACAGTGTTCAAACGCGCCAGAGAAGATGCCAGGTGTGTATCTTAAAGGTGTAGTCTCAAAATATCTAGCATGCAGTAGTCTCACTCTCATTAGTTACTAACGGTATAAATAGTCTCAAGGCGGGATCCTGATGTAAACTCTACTCCGGTCGAGCCGATCTATTCGTGCTACATTATGGTTGTAGCATGAATGGGTCGGCTCGATCAGGGTAGGACCGCGCTCTGATAGAATTTCAGCGTATAATAGCAGCTCAGTGTTGCTGTGGTCTTCGTATGGTGAGTGTATTTATATTTATTTATGTGTATTGTGTATTAATGTTTGCTATTCTATAAAAAAAAACTAGTAATTTAAATTAGGTTAAAGTTACACCTCACACTTATATTTTACCTTAAAACACGCACGCGCGCGCTCGCGCACGCGAACACACACACACACACACACACATACGCACACACTTGCGTACAATACTTACAACATCGGCGCAGGTATAAATAGGGTGAAATAAGGAGGGTAAGACCAAGATAGTTTCCTACCAGACAGAAAAAAAAAACGGTTTTTTGAAGTAATTTGCACTACATTTGAGCTATAAATTATACTGATTTAATAATAAAATTATACAAAAGCTTTTACAAAAATTTACTTCGCAAATATCCGCGTTATAAAATAAAATGATGTGTCTTACCTAGTATGAAGAAGCACCTCCCGCCCTCCCTCAATTGCATGCACTATCCCCGTCGCCACTAATCCCAGCACCGCTACTCCCAACACCACTACACTAGGCAAGACACACCACTGACGACAATACGACACGTGTTTCGCCTCTACACGAGGCATCCTCAGGTGATATAGACTCTACGGTGGCTAACCGCTAAGTGTAGTGGTGTTGGGAGTAGCGGTGCTGGGATTAGTGGTGACGGGGATAGTGCACGCAATTGAGGGATGGCGGGAGGTGCTTCTTCATACTAGGTAAGACACATCATTTTATTTTATAACGCGGATATTTGCGAAGTAAATTTTTGTAAAAGCTTTTATATAATGGATTTCCGCAAAGTAACGCCTGATTCTATTAATTATAAAATTATACTTTTATATGATTATAAAAAAAATTGCATAAGTGTTTTTAAAACAGTAATACGAGAGTGACACTGAAAGTTCTTAGAAAATCAAAAAATGAACAAACTAGCAAGTTATTGGTTTTATTATATCTTCAAAATAGTGTCTATTTTTACATCATTACATCGCTGCATCCGATGGAACCACTAAAAAAAGCACTTTGCCCACTCGTCCTTAGGGCATTCTCTGGTGGCTTCGACGGCATTTTGAAACGCAGCCACTGCTTCCTTGGCGTCCATAAAACGTTTTCCTCGAAGTTATTCTTTTATTTTCGGAAATAAATAAAACTCGCAAGCTGCGAGGTCGGAACTATAGGGCGGGTGACCCAGTAATTCCACGACTGACGTCGCCAAGTAGTCCATTGTTTGCTTGGCGGTGTGCGACGAGGCGTTGTCGTGGTGAAGGAGGATCCTCCTGCGACGTCGTCTCTCCTGAACTTTTTCCAAGGCAAGTGGCAAACAATTATTAGTGAACCTCTCTGCAGTAACTGTTTTTCGATGCTCTAAAACAATCGTTACGTAATGACCTGTCCTTCTGAAGAACGAGGCCACCATCTTTTTTCCCACGCTTTGACCTCTCTTCATTTTAGTTGGCAACTCCTCGGAAGAAAACACCCAGACAGCAGACTGTCTCTTAATTTCAGGATCATAACAATAAATCCAGCTTTCGTCACCCGTAAGTATGTCGAACACAATTGTTTAGGCCAATATTACATATTTTGAGAATTGTGTTATAATCACTCGCTAATAGCTTTGCACAGTATCGAGGTCACATCCCCCCCGCGCCGACATTCCTTTCGGGCCGGTCGACTGGACACGTCTCGGCGGTTGAGTGTACGTTTTTTGTTTCTTACTTAATTTTTGTCACGTCACGAACGGAGTCGAGCTAGTACCTCTGTCGTCGGCGGAACCACGTGTTGTTCTTTACGGATTTATTAATTTCGTTTAAAGTAATTGTGCAAATTATATAGTGATTTCGTTTGAAGTTCTTTTTTTGACTGTACCATTACGTGAATAGACTGAACTAGTGCTTTCAAGAAGGGAATTGTTACGGGGGCTCCACAGGAGAGTACCTCCTCCAGGACAGCATCGTGTCATCTAGCCCAGGCCACCTACACCCAGACACACACAAATACCACCTACACTCACTACACTTTCATCAGCCGGGCAGATCCTGGTGAACAGTCTCCGCTCCCGAAGCGGGTAAGTACCTTCCCGTTAACTAGCCTTCCGCTTTATTGTGATAGGATATTTCCACGTGGCCACTTAGGAGGCCCGATCTGCGTCTGCCCGTAGAATTCCTGCTTGGGCCCCCGGATAGCCTACTTTTGCAGGGGCAGCCGTAGGCCGTAACAACAATATTTGAGTCACCTCCGTTAAATCTTTGAACCATTTCACAATCCCAATCAACACGACGGAGTTTTTGGGCCTCTGTCAAATTATGAGGTATCCACCGGGCACAAAGCTTCCTGGCTGCTAAATGTTCATGTAGAATTTTGTACACTTGACTCATACCGATGCCTATGCTTGTCCGAATCTACTGATAAGTCACTCTTTTGTCAGTCTCTATCATACGCCGCACAACACTGATGTTATCTTCAGTCGTCGCCATAGAAGGCTGTCCCTCACGCAGATCATCGGTGAGATTAGTATGACCACATTTAAACTTATTAAACAATATTACAACTGTAAACACTGGCACGAGATGGTGCTTCATCGTGAAAGGCCAATCGAAGTCTATCATAACTTTCTTGTTGATTCAAATGACATCGAAAGTCATAAAAAATCATTGTACAAAAATTTTTTCGCGTTAAATTCATGCTGACGTGACACAGACAATTTTCAATTTGCCGCCAAATCGTAAACAAATGACAAATTAATAAAATACATACACAATAATATTGGCAAAGAGTTCCATTTTAAGAATTTGAACTTATTTTTTTATTATATCGTTTACACGTGGCCAGCTAAAAACTTTCAGTGTCGCCCTCGTAATGAAGGAAATTTAAAAGGGAAAAACTGTTGTCTTCCTTCGCCACCTGGATAAGACTAACAGTAATGTTTTTAGATTTTTTTTATAGTATAGGGTGACAAACGAGCACAGTCCACCTGATGGTAAGTGGTTGCTGTGGCCCATAGACATCTACATTTATCCTCGTATGCGAATCAAAATGCAGATGCGTTGCCACCCGTGAGGACTAAGATGAAATGCCTCGTTTCCAGTAAAAAGGGTCTCCGGTTTTCTACACTCACCATACGAAACACAGCAATGTTAAGCTGCTATTTGAGGCTGGTATTCTGTGAGAGCGTAGTCCTTCCCCGGTCGAGCCGACCCATTCATGCTACAACTATACTACTAATATAGCTGCAGCATGGCTCTACCACGTATATAACGGGCGTATAATATTATCACAGCTTAAAGACAGTCTAATAGTTGGGAAACGGGTGCAGGGCAACGGCGGGGGCCTTGCGGAGCAAGAGGCGGCGCGACCTACGGCGGCGTAAAACAGTACTTCAATTCACACATGTTGATTTTATATATATTTTTTATTGGTAATAGAGTGATTCAATAAGAGCTTGTAAACATTAAAAATGAAAAATTTCCTTGCGGATTTTTCCTATGATCTGCTCAGTTTGTTTAGTTGTTTACTTGTACTGTAAGTTAGTATTCAACGATATATTCAACATGTTCACTAAAGTATAACATTTTTAGAATAGAAATTTATTGTATTCAACTCTTTTATTATCATAATATTTTTCAATATACATATGGGAACTATATGGATAGATTTATACAATATTTTAGTTGTTTATTATATATACATTTTGATATTCTGCTTTTGCCGACATTTTTATTTAACAACCATGATTGACTAAAAGGCATAAAATTCACCCTATATAATCTTGGTTATAATGTGTTACAATTAATTGTTATACAAACATAAAATAAATAAACGAAATAATAAAATACAAAAGTGCAGAATTTTCATTTTTTAACGCTATGTGCTTGTGGCAATATTTACATTATTTAGTGTAATATATTTGGCGGATTCCCAGCATGGTGTCTCAGTGCTTATATTTTTTTTTTACACATCATATTATATTTATATTTTTTTACAGATCCCGTTACCACGTTTTCGTAGCCGCAGCACTAATGGAGTATTACTGTTCGAAAGACAAAAATATCGCGTTCCGTATCTTCGAGCTTGGCCTTAAAAAGTTCTCACATATTCCTGAATACGTACTCTGTTACATCGATTATCTGTCGCATTTGAATGGTATGTGGGGAATTCAATTATTCATATGATTCTATTTAAAAAAATATTTTTATTTGAGTTAAAGTTTTATTTCATCTTTTATTAAAATATGAATTATTTTTGTTTTAAAATAAAACAGAGGACAACAACACACGTGTGTTATTCGAGCGTGTGCTGTCATCAGGCAGTCTCAAACCAGAGAGCTCGGTGGACATCTGGAATCGCTTCCTGGAGTTTGAGTCCAATATTGGTGATTTAGTCAGTATAGTTAAGGTGGAGAAAAGACGTCAGGCAGTTCTTGAAAAGGTAAGTGTATTTTACGAACATTTTTGTATTTTTATGCAGAGTTATTACATATAGAGAAAGAGTACATTTGTTGAGTGATAAATAGGATGGATAGAAACTCCATTACAAATTACAAACATGTGATTCTCGTGTTGGTTTAAAATTTACGAGTTTTGCACAACGATACTAAGTAGGGATATAAACTAGTTTTACATACTGATAATAAGGAAGAAGTCCTTATTATCAGTATGTAAAAGTCCAGTGCTGTACATGAACCAGATAATAATTACCAGAATTCTCACTCTTGGGAGCCGTATGGGTGATGATAACCATAATTGCACTCTTGAGAGCCAGGTGGGCGATCGCGACAACAGAAGTCTCGCATATTTGACGCTGCCTCCCATTGTTTGTATTTTAATATTAGGTATACATATGCGTATTTCTATGCCACCATCGATATCTATATATTGACGGCTACGAGATCTTCCCGGCAATTCCCCAAAGTCGTCACCTAAGGGATGACTAAGGTACGGTTCTCTTAGCCGCCACCTCAAAACACTTTTTTAACAAATACTTTGTTAATTTGCTGTAAAGTGGTTTGAAAATGTACATACTTTTGATTACAGATCAAAGAGTTTGAGGGTAAGGAGACAGCGCAACTAGTTGACAGATACAAATTCCTTGACTTGTATCCTTGTAGCATAGCTGAATTGAAATCCATCGGTTATACAGAGGTAATTTAAGATTTATTTGCAATTTTCTTTACTATATCTAATGTAAGGGCTCCATGTAAGACCAATTCTCACAAAAGTGGTAACTGTTTCTGCCGTTCAGCAGCAGTGAGTGCATCCTCTGTTTTGTTTGGATTTGAAGGGAATAAGCCAGTATCTTAACGGGCTCTAAATAAGACACAAATTATACAGAAGCGGCATAAGGTGAAGGCACAGGCACGGCGCAGGCATGGTGCCGCTTCAAAACGTTTTCATATAAAATGCATGAAAGTGGCGAGTCGTGTATTATACTCAAGCGACGCTGTTTTTTTTTTTCTGAAAGTGTACGCTGTTGGCCCTGCGGCCTTGACAGCGTCATCTAATTAGGCTCGTAAGCGAGGACCTACGAACTATTGAGTGCAACGATTCTACCGGCGGCGAGGAGCGCCGCTTCGCCGACTGCAGTCCCGAGGCACCCCGACCCCTACTTTCGGAGTGAGGCTCCTCAGGGGCTCGATGCGATTCAAGGGCCCTTAGAAGGAAGTACGAACCTCGGCTTGAATCACTATCGCAATTTTGTTTACGGGTCACAAAAATTAGAAACGCCCCGTATCACGGGTGTTGAACTTCGTGTACGGGTGTGTCTGTGACCTCGCGTTCGCCGGCGAACGCGATGTGACCTAGTGTTCTGTACTAGAGTTGTGTGTGTGTGTGTGTGTGTGTGTGTGTGTGTGTGTGTGTGTGTGTGTGTGTGTGTGTGTGTGTGTGTGTGTGTGTGTGTGCGTGCGTGCGTGCGTGCGTGTGTGTGTGTGTGTGTGCGCGTGTGCGTGCGTGCGTGCGTGCGTGTGTTTGTGTGTGTTAATGTTAACTAAACAGGTTCCCTCTCCTGTGGAGGGGGGGGGGATCAAGCGACGCGGCAGAGGCATGCCGCTTTTATCTCCACTCCTGCGCCACGCCTGTGCCGTGCCGTGTCATGCCTTATGACGTTTCTGTATAATTTGCACCTTAAGCAGCTATTTAACATTATGCGGACTATTAGTTTGTTTGTCACTCTAATATTGTAAAAAAGTAAGGGTGATAAATGAGCTGTAGGTGTAGGTGGACTGTGATCTGATGGTCAGTGGTTGCCGTTGCCCATAGACAATCATGAATTAAGAATCAAAATGCAGATGCATTGTCACATCGGGACGAAGATGGAATTTCTCATTACCAGTAAAAATAGTCTCTCGTTCTCGTCATTCACTATATGAATACCAGAGTAAAATATACATACATAAACACTACATAACATGAGTGTTTAGTAGTTTTGTAGTGTGTAAAATATAATAATGTAATATGGTGTACTGTGCGAGCGTAAACCTTCCACCGTAAGTCCGACAAATTCATGGTGTAACGTAGCTCTGAAATTAGTACAACTTATGAGATATTTATTTGGAAATATTCATGAATATCATGATTAAGTTGAAGGTTACAGCCTATACGTCCATACATACGTCCCACTGCTGAGCACAGGCCTCCTCTAATTTCTGAGAGGGTTTACTAACCTCACATGTCTCCGAAATATTTTTTTTTCTTATTTCTCAGACATGCTGGTTTCCTCACGATGTTTTGCTTCACCGCCGAGCACATGATAAATGGGCACTAAATTTGCAATAAACAATTTCATTGGTGCCGGCGGGATCGAACGCGGGTTGCTCGTGTACTGTGAAATTTACAGCGAGCGCTTAGCCCCTGAGCGACCACAGCGCCCTCGTTTTTTTTTATAGGATAAGGGTGACAAACGAACACACAGTCCACCTGATGGTAAATGTTTGCTGCGGCCCATAGACTTCTATCCTCTATTTCAAAATCAAAATGTAGATGCGTTGTCACCCGTGAGGACTAAGATGGAATGCTTCTTTTCCAGTAAAATGGTAAAAACACAATAAACTCAACTAACTAATAATTTATTTCTTATAAAAGTTATAATTCACATATACATTGAAATTGGTACAGTTTTTTATACTAACTGGGGAAGTTTTAGGTTGCATATTTACTGTTTGAGACAAACTATTATTAATTTAGTATGATTGTTCATGTATATTTGTGTAAGGTGTTATACAATGACGTTTGCTAGTTGATGGAATTGGATTTGACGAATTATCATTATCAACGAAGGTGGTAATGATGGACGAACGTTCTCTTCAGTATTGTCTTGTGAAGGACGGACTGGACTTTAAATTAATGGATTGTGTGATTTTTTCCCAGTTTCTAGTATGTTGTTTAATGAATCAGCAATATAGCCTTCTGCAACTTTGTCTGACTTCCAACCTCCTAGTCGCTTTAAGGACGTCAAATTGGCTCCTGAATCTGTCAATAATGTAGCAGAGGTCCTCCTGAAGCTGTACCCAGTATAATACTTAGCATCCGACCGACCAAGAAACGTAGCTATTTCTTTTGGCATATTACCAAATTTGTTTATCTCGATTGCTTGAGCTGTACACTTCCCTTTTTGATAATTTTGGAAAAAAACGGTCGGTTTTTGCTTTTTGGGACCGCTGATTCATATATTTTTGCACTATTCTAAGAAAATCTCCTTCAACAACAAAGCTTCTCGGTATCTTATTTTTTGTATTTAGAATCTTGATTAGTAGCAGTTTTCCATGGGCTTCAATATCTCTTAAAGTAATATTGCGGCAAGCTCCAAGAACACCAAAAATCAGCGCAACCTATAAAAGAATGGGATTTGATTAATATTTTTTTAAATAATATATTGACTGTATTTTGCGATTTCGTAAACTGAATACTAAAGAAAAATATAAGTATTTATTAATAAATTACCTTTGTGGCTAAATAACGATCATCGGGAGCTTTGTTCAAAAACCTTTCTACTTCATTCAATGTTAATATTTTCGACTTTTTAGTTGTAAAACCATCTGATTGTCGTTTTAAGAAAGCATTTAGTTTTGTGTATTCACTTATATCCACGTTGTTCCTTATTTTCAGCATACTTTTTATCATCGAAAACCTCGACAATAACGTAGAAGGTTTTAATTTTGCTGAGAGTTCGGAGAAGTATGCCAACATAACGTTTTCTGAAAAACTATTTGCTTTTTTCCATTGAGTTATATGTACTACGTACTAGAGAAGCCATTCCGAACATTGACTATGTTCAACTGAACTGTAGTGCAATTCATACAAACTAAATATTGCGTAAATTGAAGATTTGTGAATTCCATAAAATAACTATTATTGCATTTTATTTAGAAATATGTTTGTTTAGATTAAATTAAGATATTTTATATTAAATTCTTATATTTATTTTATATTAAATTCTTATATTTATTTTATATTAATATCTTTATATTAAATTAAAGTCTTCGCGCATGCGCGACTACTACTCCCGCGCATGCGCGAAGACATAGAGTAGGACACAATTTTTGTTTGGAATGGCTTCTCTAGTACGTAGTACATATAACTCAATGTTTTTTTCTCTTCTCTCCACGCAATAAATTCGTCGTATATAGATATGTAGCGACTTTTTGACATTTCCGGTAAAATGTTCTCCGAAGAATTTTCTGCAATTATACTGAGTTCCGGTGGTGTTAATTCAAATAAAATATCATCGAAATTACTCATTTTGTGCAACAAACAACTAAACTCGCAAAGAACATTTTTAGAAAATTGCGCCAACCGTAAAATAATGTAAGCACCTTCACCCATTCTGGGTAGGCAAAGGGAACTGTGCCCATACAGCCAAGTCTTCGGTAGAATTTTTTTATTGATATAAATGAAATTGAAATTTAATGAGATGAAATGAAATGAAACCTAACCTAACTCATTGAATCAAATCATTAAATCTGATATTGAAAAAAATTAGTAGCTTCTTTTTAGAAATATTTGCATGAATCATAAAAACTTCTATGAATTTTTTAGTGATAACTTCGTGGTTGGTTTTTTCTTTTTAATAGATATTATTTTCACAGTTGGGAAAGAGAACGCACGAGTTCGGAAAAGGTAAAAAAAAAGCTCGAGTATGTAATAGCCCACATCCCGAACGCTACACGTCCCTGCAATACGCTACTTTTTGAGCAACTGTATTAAAAAAATATAATTCAACAGCCACTATATGAATACAAAATCTTATTTTTTTTCTACGAAATTGTTACATTGCTTATTTATCTATACAAATAAATAAAATTGAAGTATCTGTTTGTAATATCAAAATTACAGTGTTTTACTAAATGCATAGGAAAGTATAAACGGTACTTATAACAAAAATACACTTTTTTTAAATTTTGTCTGCCTGCCTGTTCCGGCTAATCTCCGAAACGGCTGGACCGATTTTGATGGGATTTTCACTGGCAGATAGCTGAATCTATATTAATGACTTACCTTATCTTGTAGGGGACAATCACGATATAGTATTATTTGCTGACGATACCTCTTTAATTTTCAAACTGAAACGGCAGTCAATTAAATATGACGATGTAAATAATGCTCTATCGAAACTAGTACATTGGTTTAACGCCAACAATTTGCTCTTAAACGGCAATAAGACAAAATGTATTAAATTTACAATGCCTAATGTAAAACATTCGAAAACCAATGTGCTCTTAAATGGGGAGGAGTTGAGTCTTGTGGATACCACTGTTTTTCTTGGTATTACTATTGACGCGAAACTTCAATGGGGCCCCCATATATCTAAATTAGCAAGCAGACTTAGTTCTGCAGCATATGCTGTAAGAAAGATTAGAAGTCTCACAGATGTTGAGACAGCTAGGTTAGTGTATTTTAGTTACTTTCATAGCGTAATGTCTTATGGAATTTTGCTATGGGGTAATGCGATTGATTTTGAAGCTATATTTGTTTTGCAAAAGAGAGCCATACGGGCGATTTATAATCTAAATTGTAAAGAGTCCCTCAGAGAAAAATTTAAAGAAATAAACATATTAACTTTGGCATCGCAATATATTTATGAAAATGTAATGTATGTACATAAAAACACAAATAGCTTTAACAAGAATAAGGATGTTCATATCTTAAACACTAGGAACAAACATAAGCTTGTAATGCCAATTACTATAGTCCGGCCGCTGAGTTATTACCGATTTGACACATGACGAATTGACAATACTAGTGAAGTGACTGAACCAGTAACCCTAATATCATTTGGGAACAGTTTGTTTTTAAATATTCTAGTATAGTGTGTAATTAAATAAAATCAAAATAATAGTTAAAGACACAGGTTCTTTATTAGGTGGAGTATCCTTGATGGGCGTAGATAATTGGTCGAGGACATATCAAAATAAAACAAATTTGTAAACACTGTTACACATTTTAATGAATAGAGTAGATACAAGATGTTTTAATAAATGACTACCTATCATTTATTAAAACAATTATTCGGACTCTGAACCAGATTCGCCAGAGCTGTCATCGCTATCAGTCACTTGTATGACAATTTCATTCTCTATAATGGTGTCCACTCTTATATCGCGTTCATAATCTTCTGTTATTAGTTTTCGAGTCTTTTCGACGACCTTGACCCAATCTTCTTTCGTTATTTTGCTGCAAGCATCTTTTAATAGACCCATCATTTTATTAGTACTGAATGGCGGAGTCGTATTATTACGAGCTGCGTAACCTGTAATGTAAACATTAAATAATGTTAATTTATTATATTAAATAAACGAAATGTTACACAATTACCTACATGTAAGGGACATGAGATATTTATTTCTTAGTTATGTATCTTTTTACTTATATGCTGAATATTGGATGTTATAATAGTACAAATTATTCATATTCATAACTTATGCGACAAAAAACAATACCTTTGATTTGTGCCCATATTAGCTCAATGGCATTGTACTGGCAGTGATACCCGATGTCCATGTGCTAGAGCTATCTCATCTACTTCATAACGGACTCTTGATGTTTTATTTTCGCGAACCAACTTTACTAAGTCAGACTTTAGCATTTCGGCAGTAGTTTCAATTCCATTTTGGTGTAGCCATGCTACGATATCAGCTTTCTTGTCGGCCTGAGTAGGCGCTTTATTCACTTGTTTCGAGTGATATGAAGCGTTGTCCATTATTATGATAGAAGGCTCTGGCAGGCTGGGTGATAATTGATTTTCGAACCAATTCGTAAAAGTGTCTGTATCCATCTCCTCGTGGTAATCGGAAGTACTTTTTGACGCGAAAGCCAGCAGTCCATTTTCAAAGAAACCACTTCCAGCAGAACCGGCGTGACAAATTATCAGTCGCGATCCTTTTCCAATTGGAACCTTTGAGGTTGATGCTTTTGTTTCGTCAGGCCAAGAGCGTGACACAGTATGGTTCGCATTTAACCATGTTTCGTCAACAAAAAAGACGTTGTCCCAAGACTAGATTTTTCTGGCTTCTCTTAAAAACTCGCTCCTTTTAATTATTAAATCAAATCTTTCCATTAATATTTTCCTTTTATTCGTTTTTTTATATTCAAACCCAATTTCGTGCAATAGTTTTGACAACGCCGTTTTACCGCCTTTAAACAAGCCAGCTTCTTTTAAAGAGACCAAAAGCAAACGTCTAGTTGGAAACTCGTTCCTAGTATAATAACCATATATGTGGTTTCTTATTGCATCTGCATCAAAAACATCAACACCTGTCAAGGGCTTTTGTCTTCGTTTTTTCTTAGGAGTGCGTAAAACATTATCTTCACTTCCAGAAGCACCAAATTTTTCTTTATTTATATTATATAGTGTTTTTGCACCAATTCCAAGAGCTTGTGAAACCCGATCTTTCACTTGAGTGACAGGAATCAAAGGGCCGCCATTTTGTGACTCACACTCAAAGTAATCCTGTAGCTTTAGTACAAGCTCACGACATTGACTATTCAATGTTTTTCCTCGTTTCGGCATTTTCAACAAAATTACCAAACACAAACAAAATTAGTCCAATAAAGCGCAACGATAAACAGGAGAAAGCCGAGTCAAAAAACAACGGTTACACAAGAGAACGTAGTCTGTGCGCACGAGAGTACGGAAGACGACTAAAAAGATTAAAATAGCGGTGGTAAGGGTGTTGCCAGAATAATATCGCCAATTACTTAAAAAAATACACCTATAACATTGCTTAATTGAGGGAGAAAATTATATTTATTAAATGTTGTTTTATATATTATGAATGTTAAAAATTATACATCATCATTTTAATTGTATTTATTTTTAAATCATAGAAAACAGTATTTCTGTGTTTGGATCACACATAAATCTTAAAAATCATAGAGATACTGGAAACACAGTGCAATTAGGAGATGCAATAAAATGGTAGCATTATAGTCTAGTTGCTCGAAGGAATAAGTAAAATAAAAATATCCAAATAAAATAAATATCATATCTATTCCAATGAATTCGGACCGAATACTATCAAGCACATCACTATGAAAACTAGACGCACGATGTAACTTTGTACAAGCGCGCCAAAGAACAAAAAATAAATGTTTTCATATTATTTACAAACAATTTTAAGTTTTGAAACAGAGTTTATTGGAAAATTACTTGATTCTGACATTTTGACATAAAGTTTTATATTAAAGAGGTATTCTAAATCATTCGGCAAATGTGTCGCTCGTGCAAGGTTACATCGATTAATTTAAGAATAATCTGTCAAATCGGTAATAACTCAGCGGCCGTACTATAGACTCCACAGAATTAGTAATTCATTTATGGGGCAATGTATACGCTTTTACAACAAAATCCCAGAACATGTTCAAAGTTTGTCAACAAACAAGTTTAAAAGTTTTATTAAAGAAAAACTGTACAAAAAGGGTTATTATAATATCAAGGAATACATGAATGAAAATAACCCCTGGGAATAAGGTGATCGCCACCATGCTAGTTCTATGAAAATTCTTTAAAATTGTATAAACAAAATTATTGTTAAGTGAAATTATGTTTTAAAAAAAAAATCCCGCTGGGTTTCTTGCTGATTCTTCCCAGGACAGAGGTATTTTCCGAACCAGTGGTAAATAAAATAATGACTCAATAAGTATTATGTAATAATTCATATTGAATAAAAATCATTCTATTCTATTCTATTCTGTCATAAGGAGTAACTTAGGCTACTTTTATTTTAGAAAAATAATTAAAACCCTAAATTACACGCGGGCGAAGTCGCGGGGAACAACTAGTATCGTAATAAATAAATCAGAACAACATTTATCTTAAATTTTAGGTAGCATCAATGTCTAACAAATCATGGGCCCTAGGAGGACCATTAGCAGGAATTTCACCAGAATTGGCTGCTGTCATATTGGGACAAAAGTGAGTACACAACCAATGTGATTTTTTGACCAAAATTATGCAATATGTTCAGGAAAGGTAAGATCGATACAGTATGGTAAACAACACTAAAACTGTCTTAAATCTAAATATTTGAAAACTAGAATGTACACTTTTAACTACTACTTTCAATTACCTTCGATATTTACAGGTGCATACCTAGTTAGTTAATTTCAAGTTTCTGTGTTGCCATGTTTCTCTTTGGTTATTTTAATTTCAGCCAACTATTAATGTTTATTTTAATTATTCCAGAGATAATGATCCAAACAAAGACATTGCTCGTCCTGATACAAACCAAATGATTCCTTACAAGCCCAAAGTGAATCCTTTGCCAGGGGAACATCCAATACCAGGTTAGTGAATATTTGTAAGAAATATGTTTCTTCAATTCTTTTTTTGTTTTATCTGTCATTAAATCTGTTCTTTTATTGATTTTATTTTACTTTTGCCTCATTGCGGTACCAATATACAATAACACCCGTTAAACTTTTTAACATACAGATATGTTCAAAAAGTGTATTGGGTGTTATTTTACATTTTATTTGTATACAGAGGAAAAACATATTTCGAACAATTTTTGCCGCACACATGATGTAAGCTTGTTAAGTAATACTTTGGAGTTCACATCACACAATATGGCCAACTCACCGAGGCGAGCTAAGACACAGAGTGATGTCACACCATCAAGAGAAGCACGGATATTGGCACGAAAACATATTGTTTCTCTTCATGTTGACTACTTTCAAAAATACTCATAAAGTATTTACCCTTTGATCTGTCTGATAAATAACGATAATTGGATTGTCTATAAGTACTTAAATTTTGACATTGTGGAGCTTAAGTTTTAAGTCCAGATTATCTCTGAATACTAGTTTTGTATGTTTTAGTTAGCTGCCAAAATTCTTAGGCAGCACTGTTCGCTCCACAGAAAGTTTGTCATTTTTATAATATAGAAACATACTTTAGTCATGAACATTGGTTAGTTTTGCTTACTAATTAACGCGTGCTTTTTTACAAACATAAGGTAATATAAAAAAACATTGTATTTCTATTTTCCCCGCAGGTGGAACGTTCCCAATGCCGCCGGCTTGTGCACACCTGTGCACATTGATGCCGCCGCCATCTTGTTACCGCGGTCCATTCGTGGCGGTCGATCGTCTCATGCAATTGTTCAACCGAATAACGTTGCCTGATAAACGTGAGTAAATACTACGATATTACAATACATACAGCCCACACAAGCCTGCTACTGAACATAGGTCGCTCTTGAGGAGTACCACAAACTCCTCAACGACCTGCATCCATCAATGAATACCAATGATAACTTCTACTAATAACTGACAGTTAAATGCTAAAGTGGTAGAACATCAGAGCCAAATAAAAAAAAATCTTTCAATAAGTATTATGTAATAATCTATAATGAATAAAAATTATTCTATTCTATACTAGTATTATAAGTGGTATATTTTAAGCAGCAGATATAAATAACTCTTATAAATTTACAGCTCCAGCGCCAACACAAGAGAACGGCTGCGACACGAAACTGTTTGACCTGGCGCGTTCCGTGCACTGGATCGTTGATGACGAGGGAATCACCACTGTATCCAATAAGGTACCTTTTGCTTATCTTTAATAATTAATTATACAAGAATAAAGCCTAGTATTTATTATGTAACAATTGCAGCGAAATATCTAGTACACATTGAACGACGCCGCAAAAGATATGCAATGTTGTCTGTTCAATGTTGTCTCTGTTATATGTGTTGCATTTTAGACATGTGAGCTGGGAAATTTTTTTTAGTAAATAAATATTTCTAATACTTTTAACTGTACTTATTCTTCTGTTTACCACTCCCAGTAAACATGCTCGTAATAATATGTTTGTCTTAGGAGAAGTATACTACCACATTTGTTGAATTACTACAGTTAAAATTAAAAAAAAAAAACAAATATGAGTTTGACGGTATCATGCAACGTTTTAAAACATGTTTGGCATCACTTGTTTCGCGGCAATTGTTGAAGAAATAGTTCTAAGGCTTTAAAGTATCATAAAAACCTGTCGAAAATAAGAACGAAAGACGAAGAACTCTTTCAATGTTTAGTAAGTATAGAAATATCATTTACAATAAATGTTACATTTTGTTACAGGTGCGACGAAGAAAAATTGGCGAAGACTCAGATGATGATGACTTAGGCGTTGCTCCACCGGTCAACGACATCTATCGACAGCGACAGCAAAAACGGGTCAAATAAATGGTGCCTATCTGACTGAAACCCACCTGACTCCATAGCAAATACGTCTAACTAAGAGAAATGAATTGAGAGCAATGATGTTTGCCTATTATGATTATTTTTATAAGTCGAGGTGTGATTGTGTACAGACCATGTATTAAAAATAAAGAGTACCTTAATGATATGCTTGTGATTTTTATAGTTATATTCATAGCAAACCTGGAGATACTGTTTGTTGATTCTTTCACTAGCGGCTCTGCATTTGTTATTGAAGTATTAGATTACTTCCGGTAGCACCAATCATCACGCAATATAAAACTATACTTAAAAACATTTTTAACAAGATTTTCGTCAAAAACATTCATTTATTATTATTCACATAGAATTACTATATACTAGCTTGGTGATTGGAGTGACTAGGGCGAGACCAAAATAACCAGTGTTTGTGTAATATGCATGCATGGGAGACAAATAGTGCTGCACCATTCATTACCTGCCTAACTTCGATTACCGATAACGATTGCAGTATACCTTTATTTTTTTACGTATTTTTACAGTATTACCTTTTTTTACGTTTCTATTATTTATTAAAAGTAACCTTTAATAAATAATGTATATTATTACTTAGAAGCTATAAGATCCCGTGAATATCGTAAAATACGACTGTGATAAATAAAACAGATAGATAGGTAACAGTATCTACCTAATAACAACCCAAAATAATAAAAAATTGCCAACCCACTTGCTAAGAGAGGGAACTATGGCAAATATTCACTACATTCAGCAGTGAACTTTTGATAGGCTGTAATTAACGAATGAATGATGGATAATATCTTGAGGGAGCAGAGAGGAAAACGGGTAATACGTTCGTAATCGATTTATTGGTAGTTGACTGTGAAAAGAGACAAAAGGGAAGGCAGACCGCGGTCGTGCCACTGTTATTGTACTATCGTAGCATTGCCCTCTGTGTACGTTCCTTGAAGCAAACCCAGTGTCTATTTAACAAACACAATTATCATTCCCTGTGAAACCCATAATAAGTCTAAGGATAATTTGGTGGAAATATTTTATATTTTAAGTAGATTTGTACGTGGTAGAGCCATGCTGCAGCTATATAAATGGTATAGTTATAGCACGAATGGGTCTGCTCGACCGGGGAAGGACCACCCTCTCACAGAATACCAGCGTAAAATAGCAGCTTAACACTGCTGTGTTCCGTATGGTGAGTGTAGAGAACCGGAGACCCTTTTTGGGCCACAGCAACTGCTTAACATCAGGTGAACTGTGTGCCCGTTTGTCACCCTTATCCTATATACAAAAAGATTTTATAGTAACCTTTTCACGATATATTTTTAATTATATACAATAATAGTACGAAATCGCGCATATTTTTTTTATATTGTTGCGCGCCACTATTAATGTCTTGTACATGGCAACACTATTCACCACTAGCGCCCTCTAGTGTTGAGTGTCAGAACTAGAAGAGTCAAGATCCTTCCAGAAATTGCGGGACCGATATGTACTCGAACATTTTTTCTGTTCTGTTCTGTCTGTTCTGGAAACTATCTGAGGCCCTATATAAGGCCGGTATAGACCACGACCAAAGAGTATTGAATTGGCGATACAAGAGAATATTCTTCGAAGCGAAATAACGGCAAACTAAAGTGATCAGTGGTACAACTGTGTTTTATTATTAGTGTGATTTTAAGTTGTAATTAGTGTTGTGTAATTAAAGTGTCAATTTTGGTAATTCACTCGACAGTTTTTAATCATCTCGAACCCCAAGCTCGTAACAATATATATATAGAAGAGAGGGGTTTACCCTCTCTTCTATATATATATTGTTACGTGGAGCATGTGGTAACCTCACCTGATGGTAAGTGACTACAACACCAGGGGAATTCTAGGTGCATTGCCGGCCTTTTAGAAAGGTGTAAACTCTTTTCTTGAAGGTCCCTAAGTTGTATCGGTCCGGAAAAACCGCCGGTGGTAAATAATTCCACAGATAAGTTTTACGAGGAAGAAAACTCCTAGTAAAACGCACAGTATTGTATCTTCAAGCATTCAGATGGTGAGGATGGTATCTTGAATTTAGATGCGATGTGCGTTCGTGAAATTTGGCGGCTGGAATTAATCCGAACAATTCCTCAGAGCACTGCCCGTGGTATATTCTATTACTTTTTTGTTGTAAGATGTCAGATGAAGCTTTCACAAACTTTCATTTATATAAAGAAGTATTATAATAATAATAATAATTTATTTGATACAGAAAACACAGATCCATTACAAAATTAATTATTACACCCGGATTAGTCCGAAATAAAAATCCCTAATTTTACTAAGTCATAGATTAAATGAATTTATCGACAACGTTTTTCGTTTCACTAATGGCATCAATCAACCAATAGAGGTGTCTTTGAAATGGAAAAACGGCAACAACCTTGTAAAAGAAAGAAGGTGAGAATAATATTGCTGTCTTATTTCGTACCATGTTAAACTTCTTATCTACGAAGAGTTCAGCTATGAGTTTTGTTTTTATTATAAGACTCTTTATGCTAGTAATTACTCTGAGGATTGACATCATTGACATTGTCGATCAGGCTCAGAAGGGCTAGAACCCAGAGCCATAAAGCTAGTTTAAAAAAAGACTGTCACATTATTGACGTTTCTTTTGACGTTGACCACTGCATTCCTTTTCATGAATATATCTTTGATTATATCTAATGTAATAAATTATTTTTGAACTCAGTAAAAATACAGACAAGTCAGTGTTAGCGTTTAACTAATTTCCTATTTTATTTAATAAAATTTTGTAAAATATATGTAAATAGAACTTTACCTTATTAGTTTGATTAGTAGTGAACTAAAACTAATTATTAATTTTCCTTAAATCGTAACGTAATTTCACCAAAAATGGCTTCGATTTTCAATGTTTTGCTGCGAAAATCAGCTAATTTAGGCCAAACCACAGCATTAATAAAGAATTTACCAGCAGTTTATAATGTGAAGTGAGTGTTGACTTAAAGAAAATTATAATCCATTCTTAAAATGCCGTGAATTTGAGATTTCTTATTATGTAACTTTAGAGGTTATAGTGTACTTTTTTAGTATTATCCATAATATTATTGATAATTATATTAAGTCATTATTATAAGTCTTAAAAAAAAAACAATTTATTTGTTGTTTTTTATTATTATTTGGTATAGCTTCTTTATTTATTTTATGTTAAATGACTAAGGCACATCTTAGAACTGAAATAAAATTTTAGCTCCCAGCGAAATGCGCATCGATGGATGCCTGATGCAGAATATGTTAAGCAATTTGAGGGGGCTGTAATGTATCCTGATGAAGTTACATCGCTTTTAAAGCATTTGCCATATAACAGTGAGTAAAGTAATTTATAAATTTTAGCTACTTTTGATACAGGTTACTCTTTTTCCTTAATCATAGTTTAAGTCATCATCAGCCTGCGGCAGTCTACTGCTGGACATAGGCCGGTACGACTTTCCATAGACTCCCATCGAGTTGGGGGTTGATACGTATTTTTACAGAAAAGTTACACTATTATAAGCACACATACAAAGTTACAATATGCGGAAGCGTGTAATTTCTGAGAAAAAAGTTATTGAAAATCAATTATAACTAATCCTACAATAAAACTGATGCCATTTTTTATTGTTATTGTCAGTAGGAATGTCGATTCTTTCCGAAAAATATCGATTTTTTAAATAGATTTGAATGGTAAGCTGATGTATCGATTCCCAAAAAATCGATTTCTAAAATATCTATATTTTTTTCATGTTTGCATTTATAATGTAAAAGCTAAGCCCATAGGCCTCTCCCAAGGCGTGCTAATATTTTAAGTAATGAGATAAATTATTACCCAAGTGTTAGGCTATCCTGTCTAGTAATTAGGAAACATGAATAATAGCAAATTCTACATCTTGTAATAAGCATAAAGATGGTAAGCTATAATTAATTGTAATACAAGTGTACTGCAGTGTTTTCTTCATCTGACTTTATTTATATTTTAATATACAATATTAAAAACTATAATAATAAAAAATAAATAAACTGGAAACTTAATTATCATATAGTCCTACTCCCCGCGGTATTGTGCTGTATTCGTTTCTTCATCTCAAAATGTGTATTAAATGTAACATAATAATTAGTTCTTAATTCAAAACACATCAAAAATAATTTAAATCAAACTACATAATTATTTAAATACAGTTTTAAATTCTCTAGGTATCTTGTATTTTCCTACTTACTTACATTTACCCTTGGTTAGATCTATATCATAACTGCTGTTACTAAATGTTTTCATACTAATTTTATAAAATAATATTATATTGTAAATTAATTTTATTTCTAAAAAGTCCCACTGAGTTTCTTACTGGTTCTTCCCAGTATGAAGGTTTTTTCCGAAGCAGTGATAAAAGCTAAAAATGACTTCCAATAAAAATCTATATCTTATTACAGACATGTAATAATTTTTTTATTTCTTGGTGTTAGTTCCTGGCAGTTTACAAACGTTAGTAAATTTCACTGTATAGCTATCTCGCTACTCTGAAAAATTAATAAATACATAGCATGTAAATGTATTCATATATGATATTATATACTAGTTTATGTTGGGTTGTATAGTAGTAGCCTCCTCCAGTTAAATATAAAAATATAAATTTAAACTCCCTTAACAGTCACTGGTAAATATCCATCAATATAATACAAAAGACTCCTCTGGACTTGGAATGAAGTAGGGGTGGCGTAAGAGAATCCTCTATAGAGTGAGCAGTTTACTATTTAACCTTACCTACAGTATACTGCCTATAATGGCTTTCACCAGATTATTTCCTTGTCCCAATTATGTCTGTGGCTTGTCCTGGTTCCATTTTTGTAGAAATATTAGTAGATTTTCTTTTGTATTCCAGACAATAGAACATAATATGCAACACAAAATCACAAGATGGAATGAAAAGAAACAAAATACATACTTTGAACACTGCTACAGCTTACAATCCAGCATTGTGACATAACAGTGATAACTTGGACAGTCCAAATGTTTTAGGTTTGGTAGTACCCAAATTGTTTTATTTTAAAAAAAATCAGTATTCATGAGATTAGTGTCATTTTTTGAAAATACAACTAAATAACTTTCATTTGAAATTATCCAAAATGGAATGTGATTTATGGGCAACAACTACAGAGTGTGTGTGATTTAGTTCACAAAGTTTTTGCCTACTGTTTACTTTCTTAATGACACACTGTTTTTAGTGATAACTACATGACGCAAATTATGAATGGCCATAATAAATAAAATTAAAAATATTTTTACATATGAACGACGTAACCGATAACTGTCTTTATTATGGTGCATTTAAAGAAAATGGAATAACCTATTTACAAGTAAATTACACAAGTAGTCCCAATAAGTAATTTATTGATACCTCAAATTGATATTTTTTTTTTTGATAATCAGTTTCTCTCTGTGCTTAGACGAGTATGTTTTCAATAATTACTTTTTACATTTAATGAACTTCAGTGAATGCAGCAATAACGGTCTTCATAACTTTGGGTCTCTTTCACATAAACATGTCTCTTTATTTCACCCCACAGATAAAAGTTTAAAGGTGAAAGGTCCAGTGACTTTGCAAGCCATAGTAGGGCTTTTGCACCCAATTCACCTGTCTTCATATTTACTATTTAAATAATCGCGCACTGCACTTGAATAGTTTAGTTAGCTGCTAATTGTTCTTCGATTCGACGCACGTGTACCTAGCGTTAATTTCTTGCCTTTGCAAACGCGCTAAAGACTCACTTTCGTATAATCTTAGCGCAGCACTTAAACTTTCGTTGCTTAAAATGTTTCAAAAAAAATAGAGTCTACTCCTTTTTAAAAGGCCGGCAACGCATCTGCAATTCCCCTGGCGTTGCAGTTGTTCATAGGCGGCGGTAGTCACTTACCATCAGGTGAGCCGCATGATCGTTTGCCCCTATCCTATAAAAAAGAAATATTATTCGAGGTTTGAATATTTAGTTCCATCATTTGTAACGAAGCGACACTACCTATGAAAATTTAAAACTAGCACACTCGTACTCTCAATGAGGTCACTGTCAACATTGTCAGCTGTCGGTCGGCTGGGCTTACGTAGGTACCTACTTAACGGTGTAACGGTTAACGGAAGGGATGAGCGTGGGAAGACGCTCGACAAGTTACCTAAACTTGTAATCGAGCCAACCTTACGAATGTGTGTGTGCGTAGTAAAATAGTAGGCGTTAGATATTTATGAATGACAATCAGTTAAAATAATGCATTTCCACGCATTCTGAATTTAAAAGATAAAAGGTACAGAATGTTTGAGTTTTTTTTTTCACCATTCGCTTATATTACCTACTAGCTTTTTACCCGCGGCTTCGCTCGCGTGGTCTTCTTTTTTAGAAACATCATTAAATGTATTCCACGCCAAATTTAGTAAAGTTCGATCACTTTTAGAGTCAAGTCGGTGTCTGTGTATCTATGTCAGTTTTTCAAAGAATTTTCTGAATTCCCAAAGACTATTGGACCTAGATGATTGAGGGACACATGCATGAATAAGTTTTTCAGAATTGCATTAATATCATATGTCTAGAAATATCTACAATTTTTTTTATATTGGACCTGTCTTCCGATGTATCTATCCATAACAAAGATAAATAGTCTTGGAATCCAAATTTACTATTATTATTTACTCTTTACATTCATTCATAATTTATTTTTATCAAAATAATGATGAATTCATGGTCTTATATGCGATATTTGATTCATATGATTGTTTCCATTTAATATTGATTGGCACCATAAAATAGATTCTGATTTTTTTTTCTACGTTCGAGTAGACTTCAAAATGTCATAAATGCAGTTCTAATAATGATGAATACTACACATATGATAAAACAAATTGTAATAAATTGCGTTACATTTTAACTTCTATTCAAGCGGGTTGTACAAAACACATCTTTGGTAGAAAATTCCATAAAAATTTGCGTAAAACAACGTATTGCTGATGTGAAGCACCGACGCTCCGAGAAGTCTGAAAGTGTGTCAACATGTTGAGTATCGTCCCAACCATTATATCAGATCTGATAGACAACAAATAAACCCCCGCCCCCCTCTCCATGGGTTCTGTATATTGCCCGAAACGTCATCAATTATAAAAGTTAAAATTCATCATCATCATCATTACAGCCCTTTACAAGTCCACTGCTGAACATAGGCCTCCCCCAAAGAATGCCACAAAGCACGGTCCTGAGCCACCTGCATCCATCGACTTCCTGCATGTCTTACCAGGTCGTCACTCCATCTCGTGGGAGGACGCCCTACACTTCGCCTACCGGTACGAGGCTGCCACTCGAGAAGTTAAAATTAAACACACTAAAATCCTTATGATTACTTTCATTGCAAATGAAGTTCTATTCGCAGTGAACGTAGGTAGAACTACACTCATGATCGAAAGCAGAAACTCATATCGTTCCGTGTGTGTCCTAAGAGGCGATAGAGGAAAACAAACAGGAGATGGGGAACATCATGTTCCTGACAACTGTTCAAAATAATAAATGCTGCAGATGCCAACCTGCCTGCCAAGCGTGGCAACTATAGCAAATATCCAGCCTATTTGACAAGTTATGGGGGAGACCTATGATCAATTCAGTGGACTTTTGATAGGTTGTAATGATAACGGTGATGAGTTCTATTCTTTCGAATCTTTGCTACTACCGTTAATATTTACGGTAGTGTGAAAACAAAAACGTAACATCTCCGAAAATATAAATGATATAAAAACAGCATAATTGCCCCATTAAAACTAAAAAAAGTAGCGACCTACATACATGTCACTACTGGGCACAGACCACAGAGCTTTTGGCCAAAAAAAGTGCCAATGCTGGATCACCTCAGCTGGGGGAACTTCTCAGATATTCAGGTTTTATTTCACCGCCGAGAACGTGGTAAATCGACACTTCAAATTGCATTTAACATATATGTAAAAATATATAATAATGCTTATGTACTATGAAATTTACCTTTGCCTTCGACAAGTAAAATAAAATATATATTTGTTTAAGTAAAATCTGCAATCTTCGATATTTAAAGTATTTTTTCGCAACAGCCTGTTCATTTCCATATCTAATGTGAGCTATGAAACCACTACTGTCACAAAAATCTTGATTTGTCTGATAATATGAAAACTCAAAAATACAAAAATCCAACAAACTGATTTATAAGTCTCATTAAAGGTATAAAAACTAAAGTAGCAGCTTACATACGTCTCACTATTGTGCACACGGCTCCCCATTACCTATAGTGTTTGTGAGCAGATTCTTATGCCGCAATCCTTCAACTACTACTCCGACATTTAGGTTTGCCCACGAAGTTTTTCTTCACCACTTCACTGGGTACCTATATAGTAAATCAGTACGTAAAATTTCCCATAACAGATTCATTTGTCCTCAAAGGTCTCGTACACGTTTTGCTCCCTTGCCGTGATGAAATCTCGCGGCGAGCTACACCGCTACACGGCTCTCGTATTTGTTTAAATAAAATTCATAAAAACTGAAACAAAGCTTTTCTACCATTGTTGACCATATCTACTGAGTAATTAGAAACCCAACGATACCACGAACTATTCCATCAAATAGGGATAAAATCACACAGTGCACTTAATTTCCAATTATTTACATCATATAACGTGATAACATATGAAGTAGGTAAAATGAAACCTATGCCGACAGACAAACAATATATTGAACTAAAGAGCTTCTCTCCTAATCTCAGTTTTTTGTACAACAGTGTTGTTAGCCATTTTGCCAAACGTGGTTATTATTTATATTAATCCCGATAATGACCACCGGTCTAGATATTTTGTGTGACAATTTTTGATGCTGCACGAGTAAGAATTCGGTAGCATTCTAAAATTTAATTTTATCAGTCTTATCATTAGTTTATTCAGAGAAAGTAGAGGGCGCTATATTACATTAATACTATGAAAGTCAAAACTATACCATCTTCTTCTTCTTAATAACTGGCTTTACGGCTCTGGGATCTAGCCCTTCTGAGCCTGAAGTTACAATATTATATTATAATAATTATTCTTCATAGTATACTGCTTCACAATATGTTGATGCGTCACATTCTGCAGCCCTTGGGAGATTTTAACGGTAAATTGTGCCAGGAGACAGCTGACGGTTGGCGATGGTATCTCAAGGCGCCTAAGCAGACAGGCACCTTATTTTGAGAATCACATCACTATCAGAGCACTTGTTTCACAGTTTCCACTAATAGTTCACATGCGCAGACGCATACACAAAATCGCACCACTTTTACATATCAAAGTCCACTTCAAACCATTATTTAAACAATAAAACAGGAGCTGCAAACCGCCGCCGGTCAAGTTCCCGCCAAAACCCCCAACTATACTATCTAGTAATATCGGCTATAGAAGAAAGAAGCCTCAAGAGCCACCCGAAAACCGGGAACATTTATTTATTATATAAAAAATGCAATAAGTGATGTTGATTCTGTTAAAAATCTGTTTCCGTTAAAAACACACGCTATCAGCGCCGCTAGCGGTGAAAAACTATTTGACGATATGAAGATATTGTCATGAAATAGCAATATTGTGTTAAGTTAGTGATATCGTTAAACGATCTCTATTCTTTGTTTGGCTAAGCTATATTATGACATGGTCAACAAACAGTGATAAATCATGAAATGATACCATTTCACGAAATAATGATTTCATGAGAATTTTGCAATAATTGCAGGACGGACCGGTTTTAATCAGTTTACATGCAGATATAGTATTAAACGTATGAAAATTGATATGTTTTTTAGTTCAAAATAATATAAATGTTCATACGTTTGATAGATGATGTCATGTTTTTAGATAATAGATGTCCCTTTTATCTTTTTAAATTTTAATTATTGCACTTTAAAATGAAATAACGATTAAATTAAGACTTAGGATTTTAAAATAATTTTATTTATGTAATTATTTAAACATATAAATGTAAGTTATTTATATAATTTATTAGTTACTAAAGGCAAAATGTAGGCTTTTTTCATTTGATGATAGATGGCGTTGTTTTGATAATCAAAATGTATATCGTCAGCGGAGTTTTAAATTGTTATGCAAAGCTTAAAACTAATTTAAACTAAATTTACAAATGTAATATTTCTTTTAATAACACCCGTCATCCCGCCTATTAACTAAAATAATCATATACCTATAATAGAAAATTAACATCTAAAGGAAGAAAAATACTTAACCTTCTTTTTTAAGTTTCGTAATCGAATAAAAAGTAGCCTATAAGTTGCCCCGGGGTACTAACTACCTACATATAAAATTTTATGGAAATTGGTCCAGTAGTTTTTGCGTGAATCGGTAATACACAGACAGACAGACAGACAGACAAAAATTCTAAAACCACTAATTTAGCTTCAGCACACTTTATTTAGTAATATGGACTTGTTTTTTCAAAAATATGTTACAATTATAGACACGGCTTTTCTACATATTTATTATATGTATAGATTCTTAACTTCTGCAAATTTGGTCATAGTTTGCAAAATAACCCGTATAGCAGGGTGGCTTTACCATGTGGTGTGTTTATGAAGCGCAACTCAGTATAACAAAAATTGATTAATTCGCGCCTGCTTTGTACTTGTACTCATGGTACTAAAGATTGCATTTTTAGCTCAGTTATTTTAATCATAAATATTTTATTCATCATTTTCCATTCTTAGCCGGTAAATTGACGATTGCTGTGTACTTTCGATGCTATTCTACGTCATTGATCAGTTTTAGGTTTGACATAAAAACTGTGACACTTTCCACAGTCTCCTCATAAAACACCCAAGGGGTAAATTGGGTCCCTTAAACTCCTGCATTTGTAAACAGCCAAAGATAGTCTTGACACCCACAGGATAACAGAAAGTACCATATGCCTTGTGTTGCTTCAATGTGATATAAGTTTTATTAAATGTATTAGATTTATAACAGTAAAATGCATGTATTTGTTTCATATTAAGTTATAATGGTGGCCTTTTTTGCTACTCAGGTATAATAAGTCCAACCGAAAAGCAAGTGCGCAACATGGTCCTGAACTTTGGACCACAGCACCCTGCAGCTCACGGTGTACTCCGTCTTGTTCTTGAGCTGGATGGTGAGGTAACTATTAATATAAGATTAAAGTTTTGTTATTTTGATTTCGTATATAAATAATGCTGAGCTTAAAATATAAACATACATATTATATATTATTTTTATGTATGTAAAAATATAAATATATATAAAAACAATGGAAGATTTTTTTGTATCATAGATAGAATTCATCATACTTACTTAATAACCATCTCATTCAATACAACATTCAAGTTTATATGTGTATCCTTAAATTATTTTTATGTATGTAAAAATATAAATATATAAAAGACATGGAAGATTTTTTTGTATCATAGATAGAATTCATCATACTTACTTAATAACCATCTCATTCAATACAACATTCAAGTTTATATGTGTATCCTTAAATAATAAACCTTCCTAAAGTCCTGTTAGATCCTGTCCTGAATATACCATACCCCAAGGAAAAATATTAAATCAACATTAATGCATCAATTCATTTATTTTTTAATTTTACAGACGGTGCGTGCTGCTGATCCTCACATTGGACTTCTTCACCGTGGTACTGAGAAACTTATAGAATACAAGACATACACCCAGGCTTTGCCTTATTTTGATCGTCTAGACTATGTCTCTATGATGTGTAACGAACAGTGTTATAGTTTGGCTGTTGAAAAGCTCTTAAACATTGACATACCAATGCGTGCCAAATACATTAGAAGTAAGTGTTTGAAATATGTATTATCTTAACAGGTAAATTATATTCATTGAATAACAATACAAATTTCTTTATCAATGTAATATTTTGAATTGAAACTTTTACACAATTTTTAAAATTCTCATACAAACCTATATTTGAGAAGTAATGTTTTTTTGTTCATCATCATCACAGCCTATCCACTGTTGAATACAGACCTTCCCCATGCCTCATAAAGAAGATGTTTACTATTGTTGCCACGCCTGACTGGCTTTTATTATTGTGAGCTGTCACCTCTTACGACACTGACGTGATGATATAGAGGTAGTGGATTTTTTTACGCCGCTACTTCATGGCCATTTCTGTTCAGATTGAAAATGATAAAAACTTGTCCTATCATTCCCGAAATCCCGATTAAGTTTCTAAGTTAAATAATATTATAGGCATTAAAATGTCCTATTTTCCATTCATCCATGAATAAAAAAAACGATGGCCTATGTTCAGCAGGTGTCTTTTGTTAGGCTGTAATGGATGGATGGATGTCACTAGTTTTTTCGTCATAATTTTAAAGAGAAATTATTAATTTCATCGTCAGCTCTCTTCGCTGAGATCACCCGCCTGCTAAATCACATTATGGCGGTCGCAACCCACGCTCTAGACGTTGGTGCGCTCACTCCTCTTTTCTGGCTGTTCGAGGAACGTGAAAAGATGATGGAGTTCTATGAACGGGTTAGCGGCGCTCGTATGCACGCCGCTTATATACGCCCTGGAGGAGTCGCTCTTGTGAGTACTGCATTTTACCGTTATATTACATCCTTATAGTACCTAGTGCTGGTAGGCACTATAAGGATCTAATATAACGCCAATATAGTTCTTCAAACGCCATTGTCGTCTTCACGCTGTGCAACGTACTTGCTGACGACCAAGGCTCTGTTGACTAAACGACAATCAAGGCTCTGATGTCAGACCCATATTAGATAATCTATACGAAAACTCTGAACCACAATTTCGACTCGAAAATGACGACACGGCAGCAGTGTGGCGCTTTGGGGCCACCGGTTCGAATCCTGCAGGAAACCACATCCATATCTTTCTGGCATATCCCATAGTCGACTCTTACGACGCCCATGGGTTAAAATGATGTTTTCTCTATCTCTAAAAGAGCTACCACATTGCCAGAGAATTGATCTGTGAAAACTGATCTGATAAATGAATGATCTTAAGAAACCCCATAGGAAAAATCTTGGACAATAGGATCGGGTGACTGTATAAGCCAAGCAATGTCTTTAAAACGAAAGATAACACATCCCAACCATTCCACCAACAATAGCCATATGGTTTTAATAAAAAAAAATAGGGGCCTACAATCTGAAAACGTTGAAACCTCGACGAATCCACACAAAATGTCACTGGGAGAGACCTGCGGCTTTTTATGCAACTTTCAGGGTTCATTGGATACCATCACCGTATATTGTGTTGGTGGACAAAGCTTGAAAGATGCAAATGGGCGCTGTGTATAGTTTCAAGTACAGTTTATTATCCAATCGATCTGCATAAAAAAGACCATCGGCCATTGTCGTCATTTACTTGTAAATCATTGTAGAAGCCCTTATGGGTGGCATTTATTTCATAGTACATAATATAGATGTTAAATTCACATTTTATTAAATTCTCTAACTCCACTATTAACAGGATATGCCGATCGGACTAATGGACGATATCTACGAATTCGCAACTAAGTTCTCGGAGAGGCTTGATGAGGTTGAAGATGTTCTTACCACCAACAGGATCTGGGTACAGAGAACCAGGGATATTGGAGTGGTTACGGCTCAGGACGCACTAAACTATGGCTTCAGGTATATTGTGTTTTAATAACCAACAATACAATATATTCATATATTTTACAATGTGTGAGAAATAAAGTTTTTTAACAAAAATATTTTGTATTAAAATTAATATAACATGTTATAAATAAAAGTATTTGGTTTGTTTAGCATTTTGCTGTATGTATGTAAATATGGCAGTTGTTTCTAACACTGAATACTGTGGTAGATTGTGCTTTACATTTATAAATGTTTAGTTGTATTTGTTGCGCGTTGGCCTTGCCCACTTAACCATTCTGCCTTCTTTTTATGACAGAGGGAGACCTAGTCTTTTGAGGAATAGCAAGAGATAAAAAATTTAATATTTTGTCTATTCTCAGTGGTGTTATGTTGCGGGGTTCCGGCATCAAGTGGGATCTTCGCAAGGCGCAGCCCTACGACGCGTATGAATTTGTGGACTTTGACGTTCCGATCGGTACTTACGGTGATTGCTATGATAGGTAAGCGCATGTAGTCAAAGTTTACTTAATGAAACTCCTTAATGAAATTGAAAAAATAATGTGTCATTATAATTTATTATACAATTTGAATTTTTTGCTGATTCTAAATGGATCCCACCCAGGAGAAGCCGGGGCGGGTCGCTAGTTGAGAAAAATAATGTCCTTCAGACCGAATTTGGAACGAAAATTTAACCAATTTAAGTATTAATAATACATAAATACATACATATAATCACTCCTCTTTCCCGTAGGGGTAGGCAGAGACCACTTCTTTCCACTTGCTACGATCCTTACATACTTGTTTCGCTTCGTCCACTTTCATTATTACCTTCATACATGCTCTACGGTTTAGGGTACTATGGACCTGGCCTTTTTTCAAGACGTCCCTGATTTGGTCTAGAAATGTCCGCCTAGGTCTGTCTATCCCTTCCAACACTTTCATTCACACTCGCCTTATACACTTTTTTCGTCAATTGTTCTTCATTCATTTTCTCAACATGGCCAAACCATCTCAGCATACCTTTCTCAATTTTTGTCACTACATCTTTCAGACCACAATGTTTCCTTATCTCACTATTTCTTATCCTGTCGCTCAGTTTAACTCCTATCATACTTCTTAATGCTCTTATCTCAACTGCATTTATTCTGTTTCTTCTGCAATACCCAACTATCACTTCCGTACATGAGTGTCGGAACCAACACCCCCTCATGCACAGCCAAACGAGCCTTGTTAGACACCTTCAGACTGCTCATAAAGGAGTGCAAAGCTCCATTCACCATGTTTCCTGCATTCACTCTTCTTTCGATATCACTCTCACACTTTCCATCCCTTGTAAACTTTGAACCCAGATACACAAACTCTTTCACCTGTTCAATTTGTTCATCTTCAATCACGATATTGCAGTCTGTCACTGCCTCATCTTTTTCAAACACCATCACTTTCGTCTTCCTTACATTCATCTTCATTCCCTTTCTAACAAAAGCTCCACTCATAGCAGTTACCATCTCCTGCAACTCCTCGGCCGAAGACGCAAGTAATACTTGGTCATCAGCGTAGAGAAAACATTTGACGAGTAACTCATTCATTCTCAACCCACTTTCATTCTCTTTTAAATCTGTCAAACAATTGTCCATGAACAGATTAAACAGCCACGGTGACGCTACACATCCCTGTCTAACACCTTTTTCGATATTAAACCATTCAGTGTATGCCCCGTTTATCCTTACACAAGGACTAGAATCCCTATAAAGAGATTGCAATGCTCGTATGAGAATACTGCTCACACTGTTCACGGACAGTGCTGACCACAATTCATTCCTCACCACTCTATCATAGGCCTTTTCTAGATCTACGAACGCGCAGTAGACCTTCTTGTTTTTAGCCAAACACTTTTCGGCTATGCACCGCAAGGAAAAGGCCTGATCCGTACATCCCATTCCACGCACAGATTCCATTCCAAGCATACTTCAAGCAGGCTTCTCCCATTGTCATTCACTCTCTCGCCCCCAAACGTACCCAGAACTCCTTCATACCCATCACGCTTTACTCCAACCCATCCTTAAAGTCCCCTAACATCACGATCCGTTCATTTTCTCCGCATTTATTCAAGACCTCTCTCATGCTATCCCAAAATTCCTCTCTCTTGTTGGGATTTTAATGACCCACCTCCACGCAGATCCTAAGTTTAAAACAATCTTTACGCATTATCGATCAGTGCCTGAACAAAATGCCGCCTGGAGAGGTTAAAACCGACGATGGTAAACTAACGCCACCTTCCCGCGAGGAAATGAAGGTATAGTAGTTTTTAATAGCGCAACTTGGATCATAAGTTATATCATAACTACAAGAAGTTGTATGTATAGCTTCACTTAATTATAATAATATTAAATAAAAAATAATAAAAAAATAACATTAAATAAAAATAATGTCAATTATAAATTTTACACCACATTCAGGAATATGTTATCCCTAGAGATCTGATTTATTGGAAAAATTTATCAAAACATGTGGTTAAACATGGTAGAGCCATGCTGCAGCTATATTATGGTTGTAGTATGAATGGCTCGGCTCGACCGGGGTAGAACCACGCTCTCACAGAATACCAGCGTAAAATAGCAGCTTAATGCCACTGTGTTTCGTATGGTGAGTGCAGAGAACCGGAGACCCTTTTTACTGGACAAGAGGCATTCCATCTATAGTAATCACTAGTGTCACAGGTCTACGAGCAAATAAGATGACGCAGATCCGTTAACGTGTCGATCTACCGGGACCACGGGTGAAATGTTGAAAAATCTATGAATAGTGGATACAATATCATATTTTTTCCGTAGGTACCTTTGCCGGGTGGAAGAAATGCGACAGTCTTTACGCATTATCGATCAGTGCCTGAACAAAATGCCGCCTGGAGAAGTTAAAACCGACGATGCTAAACTAACGCCACCTTCCCGCGAGGAAATGAAGGTATTGTAGTTTTTAATAGCGCAGCTTGGATCATAAGTTATATCAAAACTACAAGAAGTTGTATGTTTAGCTTCACTTACATCTCATTTAAAATAGAAGTATCTGTCGTGCATAATTTATTGTGTCTATTTCTATTATATACGTTACGGCTAAAAGCCGAAGTGCGGTTACACCTAGTTCTAGCCGGCTAGAACAAGGTGCGGCCAGCAGTAGTTGGTTAAATTTAGGTGTACTGTTAAATTTGTAAAAACATGGATAAACGTATCAAGTAATATCAGTGACAGTAGGTGAGGTCAAATCCGCAGACATTTATCTAATTTATAAGTTAAATTATATATGATATACCTAAGTTTAACCAACCGCAATAGGCTGCACCTAGTAGTTAGCGGCTAACCCTAGGTGTACTTACGTTTATGAATTATTATAATTGGTATATATATATATATATACATATATATATATATATATATATATATATATATATATATATATACATCAATTTATATTATATTTTTAGTAATTTGTAAATACTTCAATTACAGAATTAAAAAAGATATTATTGTAATATTTATTAATTCCGAAGTAAAACTTAAACTCTATCTTTATGGAATGAATGTGGATGAAGAAATTCCATACTAAACCTTATTATCTCTAGGAATACGAACTTTATAATGATTATTTTATGAATAACCGGCTAAGTGCGAGTCCGACTCGCACGTGAAGGGTTCCGTACTATCCTGTCGGTCCCGTTGGTCACCCTTTGGGTACGGAACCCTAAAAAGGGCGATATTTCTGTATGCTTGCAAATTACGAAATACTACAAAAGTAATTTTCCTAAAATAATAAAAATAGACTTAAAAAAATATTAAACTATTCCTGTTACAAAGTAATCTTGTTAAATTGCAGACGTCTATGGAAGCTCTCATCCATCACTTCAAGTTGTTCACGCAAGGCTACCAAGTGCCTCCTGGTTCCACTTACACGGCAGTGGAGGCGCCCAAAGGAGAGTTCGGAATTTACTTGGTCTCTGATGGAGGCTCTAAGCCTTACAGGTATTAATTAGTTTAATATTGTATTTTAACGAGTTAGAAGCTATGTTGTAACTGCATTACGAATGGGTCGGCTGCATCATATTGCCGACAAACGCGTTTTCGATGTGTAACATATGCAAAACCAGAGTCACTTGTAAAATTCTCGTGCGGAAAGGTATGTTTTTATTTAGATCAAATTTGCATTAATTTTCATAACTTGCAGGTGTAAAATCAAGGCACCTGGATTCGCCCACTTGGCTGCTTTGGAAAAAATAGGCAAGAACTCCATGTTGGCCGATATTGTCGCCATTATTGGAACCCTCGACGTTGTGTTTGGCGAAATTGACCGATAAATGACGTATATATAAAGAAATATAGCCGAAATCAGTTGTGAAGAACAGTGTAGAAATGTACAATTTTACTTTTAAGCAATAAATTATTAAATAAATTGCTTGTTTTTATTATTAGTAAAAATTTGTTAAGAGATTGTAGTTGTTTCATTTACGAACTATTTCAGTTATATATAGTAATTATCGTAGATTAGCTGGGGCCCCTTAGCACTATGCTTAATAACCTCAATAGTTACAAGATCATCTCATATGCTAAATCAATAGCTATTGTTTTTTTAAACGTTATCTTCACACTTGGATTTTCTCCTGTATCTTGGGGCAGTTTACATACATAAATTTCACAAGAACAAACATCCAGACCCAGAACAATTATTTGCGTTCCATAGAAATACTTGTTCCGTGCGGGATACGAACCTGCGCCCCTTGGCGTTGCAACTCATTGAAAAGCCACGGAGCCGTCAAATCCGCTAGTTAGTTGCAGGAAACGTCCGAAGTTATTGACGAATTTACTGGGTGGAACGACTTATTTGCCTTGTTGTACGGCAGGGTAAGTACTGCCATCTTACCGACTGCTGCCAAATAGCAATGCTTCCACCACTGTACTCTAGATGAAGTGTTAGAGAACCAGTAGACTGGGGCATTCCATGTTAGACCTCAAAGGTGACAACGCATCTATAACCTTCTTTGTTTAAAGTTTGCTGCAGTGTTCATGGACTACAGTAGTCACTTACCATCTGGTGGTTTCGTTTATCACTACAAATAAAAAAAGAGTATGTTTAGTAGCGTCCGACCGAAGGTCTATTGCTAACCGAAGCCGATTAATCGGTCTTAAATCTCCACAGCCTTTGGCCGAAGCCTTAAAATCCCTAAGATATTCAGTTCAAGATAAAAAAAAAACAATAACATACATTTGAGCAAACAAATTCAATGGGAGCGTTAGCTTTGCATGGTTTTAGAAAATTTGGCTAATAACTTGTTGTTTTAAATTTCAAACACGACTCTAAATTTTCATTTGTTAGTTGGGTACGTACTTTACTTTTAATTATATTCATGCAAGAGAACGCTTGCTCGCACGAATAAGATCCGAACATAGTCAGCACTCCAAATGCCAACTTCTTCACCTCACTGTAGCAATCTGGAAGTCTATTCCATATGTCGTCTATGACTTAGAATATACTTACGACAGTATATCTAAGTCTATGCCATTTATTTACTCAATATACCATTTAGCGGTTGGTAGCATAACTGAGAGATGTTCACATTAGAAGTGTAAGAGTAACGAAAAAAAGCGTACCCGTATATATTCGTTACTATAACAATTAGTACTCGTTACTATCGTATCGTTACGTTACTCGTTACTTCTGATACTTTATAACATGCTATGTTATGTTAGAGCATCGAATCAAGTCATATTGCGTACGCGTACAGTATGACGTCGCGGCGTCGCAACATTCATAATTTGTAGAAAACATATTTATATATTAACAAAACTTTATCTACACACATAATAAAGGTATTGTATATGTTGTATAAACAGTAAAAAACTTGTATGACGAATTACAAAATTATACTTTACTTATTAAACAAACATCTCTCTTTGTAACGCACGTTCTTAAATTCACCGAGTAAGCGTGCGCGCGTAAAACATACGATCAGCAAATGTTACATACACACATCAACGGTACTTGCATTAACTGAAACAGTGTAGTTATCCATAGTACGAAAAATGCGAGTAACGAAATGCATTCGTGTGTAACGTTTCGTTACTCGGTACTAGATGGCGCACCCGTTACTCAGTACCGAATACATAAGGTTTGCTACAGCTTTAGTTCACATTGTTCATCACTCACAGACTAAAAATATAATTTGGAATCTCTACCTCTCCAGTTTTCCTTTGTCTATATGATAAACTATGAAACAATACAAAACATTTCACGATTTCTGAGTTTAAACTCATTTTTCTCAGAATTATTAAGTATTTGTATTTCTCAAAAGTGTGATGCGTAATCCCTGACCCCTATTGTCTTCAAGACCAGGTCGGTCGTAAGCTTACTTCATAATGAAATTTCTTCCTTATTGCTCCGTGGAAAGGAAGAATAAGATACAATACTTACTATAATACTAAAAAAAAAAAAAATTCTTGCACCACATAACCTACACTAACTTGGTTACACATATCAATGGGCTGCTGTACAGTCACATAATTAAATATAAGTAGTTGCTGTGGCCCATAGACATCTACATCTATCCTCGATTACGAATCAAAATGCAGATGCGTTGTCACCCGTGAGGACTAAGATGGAATTTTTTTTATAGGAGAGGGGGCAAACGAGCATGCGGCTCACCTGATGGTAAGTGACTACCGCCGCCCATGAACAACTGCAACACCAGGGGAATCGCAGATGCGTTGCCGGCCTTAAATGCCTCGTTTCCAGTAAAAAGGGTCTTCGGTTCTCTACAATCATTATACGAAATACAACAGCATTAAGCTGCTATTTTACGCTGGTATTCTGTGAGAGCGTGGTCCTTCCCCGGTCGAGCCGACCCATTGGTGCTACATCTATACTATTAATATAGCTGCAGCATGGCTCTACCACGTAAAGTTAAGTAAATATTTGAATAAAAAATATAGTTTTTTTTAAATACATTTTATTAACTTAAATCTACTCCTTCTCTTCGATTTCAGGCAAATCTCTGTCTGTTTCTTGATCAAAGTACCCTTCTGGCACCACATAATCTTCTGGCGGTCGCATTGGACCGAATACCCGTTTAACTTCTGCTTCTTCATTTTCTTTTACTGTTTCTCGTGTTTTTTCTGTTCTCGCTATATTATGCTTTTCATCTTTTACATGTCTTACAGTTTCACTCTCTGACATAACAACCTTTTCATTTGATTGATCAATCGGTGCATTTGTTGGCAATTCTTCCGTTTCTTCATCAGAGTCCATTTCTTCTACAAACTCACCTTCCTCCTTCTTTACATCATGTCTTACTCTTGGCCGTTTTTCAATGTCATCCTTTAGTTTTAACCTGAGGAATTGAATTGTTGATTGTTTATAAGCATAATAAATTACTTATTTCAAAAATAACAAAAAAGCTGACATTTTGTAAAGTTAGACCATATAATATAATGAAATCCGAATTTTTATCTATTTAATTTTCCAAAAATAAGGACGTGTAATGACATCGCAAGAGCGTTGATGATTAGTCTTGTCCAGAGTAATAAGACAACAAAATTGGGAACATAAGTATCAACTACGCCAAACAACGTGCTTGACGGTGCTGGTAAATATTGTGAAGAAACCGGCATAAACGTACCCATGTAGCGGCTGTGTAAAAATATCCATTACCCCATATTGTTCGATGGGTGTACAGCAGGGTGTCGTGTGAGGGGACAGAGGGAAACTGAAAGAGGAGATGGGCAGCAGCACCTTGATAACAACTTAAAAGTATTAAAAACGGCGGTTGCCTACCAAGCATGGCAACTATGGCAAAATCCCTCTATGAGACAATCCATAGGACAGGCCTATGTTCAGCAGTGTACTTTTATAGGCTGTAATAGATGACCTCTGAGGGCCATATGTAATCGCCACTTGCCTGTTTTTTTCACCATCTTGGAGTGACGGAGAAGTACAAAATATATAGGCTGGCTATAACTTTATACTTATCTTCACGCACAATCCCTGACGGGGTAGCCAGAGAGAACAGATCGCCAAGTGTCACGATCCTTACATACTTCTTTCGCTTCTTTCAGATTCATTATCTTCTTCATACGTGTACGTCTAGGTATCCGAGTACTCTTGACCCTACCCTCTTCGAGCAATTTCCTCACATGGTCTACGAAAGTTAGTCTCGGTCTACCTCGACACCTTTTAATATTAACTTTCGCGCTATATATTTTCTTCACCATTCGGTCTTCACTCATTCGCTCAACGTGCCCAAACCACCGAAGCACGCCCTTATCAATTTTTGTGATAAGGTCATCTTTCAAACCTGCCATATTGCGAATCTCTTCGTTTCGCTTTCGGTCGGCCAAGGTAACGCCGCACATTTTACGAAGAGATCGCATCTCCACTGTATTCAACTTGCTTTTATGCTTCTTCTGGCATACCCAGGTTTCGCTGCCATATAACAAAGTCGGTACCAACACTGCGTTATGTATTGCAAGGCGTGCACTCTTCACTACACCTTGCCTTTTGACTAACTTAAATTAATAAATTAACTTAACTTTTTTTTAACTTTACGTTTTCCAAATATAAAAACACTGTATATTTTATCCATACCAATAAATAAAATTGAAGTGTCTGTTTATAATGTCAAAATAACAGCTTTTTACTAAATTCATATGAAAATATATACGGCACTTATAACAAAAACACAATTTTTTAAATTTTTGTCTGTCTGTTTGTTCCAGCTAATCTCCGAAACGGTTGGACCGATTTCGACAGGAACTTATAACATCAGCTATCTACCAGTGAAAGACTGGTAGATAGCTGATGTTATAAGGAGTAACTTAGGCTACTTATATTTTAGAAAAATAATTAGGGTTCCGCGCAACATAATTAAAACCCTAAATTACACGCGTGCGAAGTCGCGGGGAATTAGTTATATCATATTATTATCATATCATCTTATTATCAACTTCATAGGAGATTTGCCTTAGCTGGCTCGCTTGGCAGGCGGATTGGTTACCGCAGTTTTTATTTTATTTTCTAAGACGTTTCTACCAATCTCTAGATTTATTTCCTTCTATAGTTTCTTACGACACCCAAAGAACGATATGGGCCTAGGTACAGCAGTGGACTTCGATAGACTGTAATGAATAAATAACTAACCTTTTCCCATAGACGACGGCATTGGATCCAACCTTCAACGTCATTTTCTTGTCGTCCTTCTTTATGAGGGGCGGCGCGTCAGCAGGCCGCGCTATCTCAGCTAGCCTATGCGTTTTAGCTAGTTCTGCCTTCAGTTTTTGTATACTCATCTGTAATATAATTTATACTTAAATATAATAATAAAAATAAGGTATTATTATTATAGATGAAACGGATAGCTGTTTGGCCGGATACCGGATATTCGGCCAGTCTTATCGCCGGGTAGCCGGATATTCTGCCAAACATTGCCGTTTGTTGCATCGCAAGAAGCGAACTTGCGTAGGTAACGCTTAGTGGAGGCGATCGTGTGCACGCGGGACTCGGGCAACTTCAGGTCTTTCCGTTCATAAGCGAAGTTAGCAATTGTTTAATTGTCTTATTGTATTGCAAACGCGATCGTTTGAGGTTAGATTAAAAGTCAAGACTCTAAATACTTGATTGCTACTTAAATTGTGATTCGAAATAAACTAGCTCACTAGCCGAGCTCACAAGGAAATTCTATTGAAATACTTAAAAATGCGCATGCAGTATGTGTACTAATTTTCTATGTTTTAAAATGAAAATTATGTGATTACTGATTATATTTGTTAAGTGACATAAACAAAGTACTTAACTAAATTTGATATTTTGTATTTATTTCAATCCGGTAATAATATATCCGTAGTAATATAGACCGAATACCGGATAGTTACCGGATATCCGTTTCATCTCTCATCATCATCATTACAGCCCTTCACAAGTCCACTGCTGAACATAGGCCTCCCCCAAAGAATGCCACAAAACACGGTCCTGAGCCACCTGCATCCATCGACTTCCTGCATATCTTACCAGGTCGTCACTCCATCTAGTGGGGGGACGCCCTACACTTCGCCTGCCGGTACGAGGCTGCCACTCGAGAACCTTTCTTCCCCATCGGTTGTCGGTTCTTCGAGCTATATGGCCGGCCCATTGCCACTTCAGCTTACTAATCCGTTGGGCTATGTCGGTCACTCTAGTTCTACTGCGGATATCCTCATTTCTGAGTTTATCACGCAGAGAAACTCCGAGCATAGCCCTCTCCATAGCTCGCTGAGCGACCTTGAGCTTTCTCATCCGGCCAGCAGTGAAGGACCACGTCTCAGTTCCGTATGTCATCACTGGCAACACGCACTGGGTGTACAGTCTCGTTTTCAAGTTTTGAGGTATACCTGACGAGAAGATGTGCCGTAATTTCCCGAACGCTGCCCAACCGAGTTGAATCCGTCGATTGACCTCTCGGTCGAAGTTGGACTTACCTAGTCGGACTATTTGTCCCAGGTAAACATACTCGTCAACAACTTCGAGCTTAGTGTTCCCAACAACTACCGACATAGGTGTGACATGGACATTAAACATGATCTTTGTTTTGTCCATGTTCATCTTAAGACCTATCCGTTGGGAAACACTATTGAGGTCATTGAGGTCTTGCTTAGGTCCTCCAGCGATTCTGCCATAAGGACTATATCGTCGGCAAATCGAAGGTGAGTGATGTACTCGCCATTGATGTTGATACCGTATCCTTTCCAGTCCAGAAGCTTGAAAACATCTTCCAATGCAGCGGTAAAGAGTTTCGGGGATATGACGTCACCCTGTCTTACACCTCTCTGCAATTGGATAGGTTTCGTACTCTGGTTCTGTACTCGGATAGCCATCGTAGCCCTACTGTACAAGCACTTCAACACTTCGATATACCGACAGTCAACTTGGCACCGCTGAAGGGACTGCAGCACCGCCCAAATTTCGACGGAATCAAAGGCTTTCTCATAGTCCACATACGCCAGACATAGTGGCAAATTGTACTCCTCGGACTTCTGTACAATTTGCCGAAGGGTATGTATGTGGTCTATGGTGCTAAAGCCTTTTCGGAAACCGGCTTGTTCGGGAGGCTGGAAGTCGTCAAATCTGCGCGCGAGACGATTCGTAATGACTCTCGAAAACAGCACGTAGACGCGGCTCAGAAGGGAAATCGGTCTGTAGTTCTTCAAGAGAGCGTTGTCGCCTTTCTTGAAGAACAAGACCACCGCACTTCTGCTCCACGCCTCCGGCGTAATGCCACCATGGAGGACGGAATTAAAGAGCTTCTGAAGGACTTCAAGTACCGGTTTTCCACCCGCTTTCAGAAGCTCCGCTGTAATTCCATCCTCGCCTGGGGCCTTGCCGTTTTTAAGGTGCTGGAGAGCCATTCTAATCTCGCTCAGACTGACGTCCGGGATATCATCGGAATAATGTCGGATAAGACTCGCTCTTGGATCGTTACTCACACTTGCGTGCGGCTCCAACGATGACGTGTACAGCTGCCCATAGAACCTTTCAATCTCACTCAAAATCTCAGGTGCCCCGGAAACGATGCTGCCACATTCTGTCTTCAGCTTTGACAGTTGGCGCTTTCTGGCAGACAGATCTCTGGCAAAGACTTTGGAGCCTTGGTTCCGCTCGATCGCTTCTTCAATACGAGCTGTATTGAAGTTGCGTAAGTCCCGCCGCATGCATTTGGAGATCTGTCTGTTCAGTTGCCTGTATGCTGTTAAATCTGTTGAAGAATGTAGCTTCATCTCCCGTCTAACAGCCATGAGATTATGAGTGTGATCGGAGAGTTTTTGTGTTCTTCTGCGGCGGGTCTTGCAGAACTTAGCTCCGACCGCATGGACAGTTTCCACGAGCTTGTCATTCAAATCGTCCACTTCATTGCAGTCTTCTAGGCACTGAAAACGGTTTTGTAACTCGAGCTGAAAGGTTTCGGGACTTTGGATTAGAGCACGAGGGGGACGGAGCGTTGACTTCATTAGACGAGACCTCTCCAACTTAACGTTTAGGTTCAGTGTGCCTCTAACCATTCGGTGATCGCTGCCGGTTTTCACCCTCGCGATCACTGAGACATCACTGAACAGTTGTCGTCTGGTCGTCATAATGAAGTCAATCTCATTTTTTGTCGAACCGTCGGGGCTCGACCAGGTCCACTTCCTGTGGGGCCGCTTCTGGAAGAAAGAGTTCATCATAAAGAGTCCCTCTTTCTCCATGAAGTCAGCCAACTGCTGGCCCCTTGGGTTCCGTTGCCCTATTCCAAATTTCCCTACTTTCAGCTCACTGTTCTCTCTTGTGCCTAGTTTTGCATTGAAGTCTCCCATTAACACCGTATATTGGGTTTTGGAGGAATGCATGGCTCTAGAGATATCCTCATACATTTCCTCCACCTCCTGATCGGGGTGTGCCGAGGTTGGTGCGTAAACCTGTATGACCTTCAGCGAATACCGTTTGGTGATTCTGAGTATAAGGTACACAACCCTCGTCGACACACTCTCAATCTTTACAACGTTGTTAACGAGAGACTTGTGGACGATAAATCCGACACCTCCTTGGGACAGATGGTCGCCCTCCCGGTAATAGAGCAAGTTGCCGGATTCGAGGATTACCGTGTCCTCCCCCTCTCTTCGGACTTCGGATAATCCTATAATATGCCAGCGTAACTTGTCTATCTCTTCTTCCAGCTCCACAATCTTCTCGTCAGTCCTCAGGGTGCGTGCGTTGTATGTTGCCAGGTCGAGTCGTCGTAGGTGGCAACCGAACCTCCACCGGAGATTCTTAGCACCCCCTGCCCCGCCGTTACCATGGTCGCCACCGTAGCCAGGAATAGCGGGGCCGCCGGGGACTGGGGGCCGTTTATTATTGTCATTGCTCATGGGGGGTATATTGCCATAGTTGCCACGCTTGGCGAGCGGGTTGGCAACCGCAGTTTTTTTATTGTTATTTTAATATCAGGAAGATGCTGCTGCCCATCTCCTGCCTGTTTCCCTTTGTCGCCTTTTACGACACCCACGGGAAGATATGGGGTAGTGGATATTCTTAACCGCCACTACACGGCATCATCTCTAATTATTATTATTTGAATTTAGATGGATGAGATAAAATATTAAATACTGCTAATCCCTACCGTGTAGTGGCGGTGTAAGAATATCCACTATCCCATATCATCCCGTGGGTGTCGTAAGAGGCGACACAGGGAAATTGAAACAGGAGATGGGCAGCAGCATCTTCCTGCTAACAACTCAAAATAATAAACAACTGCGTTTGACAACCCGCTCGCCAGCCGTGTCAACTATGACAAAATCCCCCTTATGCGGTAATCTATAGGGGAGGCCTATGTTCAACAGTGGTCTTTTATAGGCTGTAATGGATGAACGTAGTACGTGGTAGAGCCACGCTACAACTATATTAGTAGTATAGTTGTAGAACGAATGGGTCGGCTCGACCGGGGAAGGACCACGCTCTCACAGAATACCAGCGTCAAATAGCAACTTAATACTGCTGTGTTTCGTATGGTGAGTGTAGAGAACCGGACACTCTTTTTACTAGAATCGAGGCATTCCATCTTAGTCCGCAACGCATCTGCATTTTGATTCTTTATTGAGGATAAATGTAGATGTCTATAGGTCATAGCAACCACTTACCATCAGGTGGACTGTGTGCCCGTTTGTCACCCTATCCTATTAAAAAAATAATAATAATGGATGATGAAATAAAATAAGTTTAAAAAAAGCAACTGCACTTGGTGATTTTATGAATCCACTCTCCTCAGTGTGAGAGAGAATAGCTATTTTTGCTAAATTCTTACGTTTTTGAGGTTGGTCGTAATAAAATTATATACAACTTCAAACGAAGGGAGCTATAGATGTATTATAATTGCCTTTAATAAAACAGTCTTCTCTCTCTCTCTCTCTCTTTCTCGCTTTATCTCTTATACCTTTCAAACCGGGACACAATATACTGGACTGATATTTAGCACAACTACTCCTAGCATACTCATGAGATAGAAAAGAAGCCTACCAACTAGACCTTACCTCCTTACCTTAGCTTTAGAGATATCGGCTTTGACGGCCATAGCCGGTCTTTTCGAGGTAAGCTCGCTCATGTAAGCATCGAGCGCATCAGCCTCGTCGCAGTTTCCCTGCTGCGGAGCACTAGCGCCACGCAGACGTTCCAGAGACTTCTCTTCTTCAATTATTTTATCCTCTATCTCTTCTATTTTCTTAAGCTGCGTAGATTAAAAACAAAATAACTATTATTATTGCTGTCTTATTTATTGAATATTTAATGTATTATAATATAGTGTCGAAAAATAAAGAGCCAACTGTCGAGCGTAAGGAATATGGACAAACCTATCTAGAATTCAATCTAGTTGCCGAGGCTTTAAAATACAGACAGAAAGGCTGGTAAAGAAGAAAATCACACCTCATGTTTGGAACTTTTGATTTCATTTGATTCACCAATAATTCTATTCTGTAACTATGGTAGGAATCGTGTTGGTATTAAAAACAATGACGTATTTTTTTTTAAATAAGTACCTAGTTTTATTGGCGTGTAATGGCGGTGTAAAAGAATCCACTACCAAATACCATCCCGTGGAAGTCGTAAGAGGCGATAGAGAAATAATGAAACAGAACAAGGCCAGTAGCATCTTCCTGATAGACTCAATAATGATATACAAAACTGCGGTAGTCAGCTCGCTTGCCAAGCGTGCCAACTATGGCAAATATAACACATATGAGAAGGTCTATGTGGGAGGTCTATGTTCAGCAGTAGGCTTTTGATCAGTGGCGGATTATCCTTTAGACCAACTAGGCACGTGCCTAGACGCGCGAGGTCGCAAAGGGGCGCACTCGCCTCACTTACTTACATAAAATAAAGAATCATACTTTCTATATAGAGATGTAGAGCTTCCGAAGCGTACCCCGTCTATTTGATTATTCCTACATCGCCCTGAATCTCTCGTTAAATTTATTTACACGCAATTGCTAATGGTACAAGTGTTTTGGCCTACCCGATAATTTTGCAATATATAGATTATAATCTCTTCTATATATAAAAATCAATTGCTGTCCGTTAGTCTCACTACAACTGGGAAATGGCTCAACCGATTTTGATGTTTTTTTTTGTGCGAGTAAGAGTGGATCTCTAGTTGGTTTAAAACTCAATTGGACCCGATAGGTAGCGCTGTTGTCGAGATTTAGGACTCACCCGTGCAAAGCCGGGCCGCCAGTGGGGCGCCGTTGAAGTAATTGCCTAAGGCGCTGTCGACATTTAATCCACCCTTGCGTTTGATAGACTGTGATGATGATGTTGATGGATGAAGGTTTGATCTAGATAACATCTCCATATTTTGACCGAAGAAAAATCATATTATGAATTGTAAATATTCAGCACTGGACTCTTTTAACGGGCTTGAATGAATAAATAGATAAATTTAATATTAAGTTCACGGTGAAGAAATATGGGACTTATATTATAGCCTACGACATTCCTTTATTTGTTTTCATAGAGTCTTGGTAACTGGCATGGAAGCTCGGGTTCGATTCAGCAATTTCGTAGCAATTTTAAGTGCAGATTTACTACGTGCTCGGCGGCGAAGAAAAGTTTTCCTCGTTATGCTTTTCTTCGCAGGTACATATCAGACAATAAAAAAAAAATTAAGATGTCAAGCCCGCCAACGCGCATTATGCCAGCACTCTTCCTTCCTCTTAAGTCCTCTCAGGAACGAGAGGAAAAGGAGGGCTGTGCCAAGGAGTGGGACGTATTATATAGGCTGATAATTTTACTTTATTTTTTAAGAGACAATCCATCTTTATCATTTGAGGTGACAACGCATCTCTAACCTTCTTTGTTTGAAGTTTCCAGCAGTTGTCATTACCAGCAGGTAAAGTGAGACCTTGTGTGCCACATTAATAAAAGAGTGTTTCGTCGGTGAATTTTGAGGTAAGTTGAGGCACGATTAGCGATTTTCATAGCAGATGTTTTGTGGATCTGTTGCTGTTTCTTATTACTGACATATTCTTTATTAGGTAAAAAGATGGTAGCCCTATGGCTACTAAGTCGGAATTATATCGCAAACGCACACACATAACATAATAATACTAAACTGTATGTTATATTTCTCCTGAATTAGTGAGAGAAACAAATAAATTTTATTATTATATTGAACTGACTCATTAATAACAATTCTCAACTCACCAAATCATTGTAAGTGAGTGGTTTGTCGTTCTGCTCTTCGGCCGCACCAAGCTTCATCATGCGCAGCTTCCGTTTCCTCTCCACGTGGCCAGTCCTGTCCAAAAACGAGTCGTCATCCGAATCGTAATAATCATCGGCGCTCCAGTCGCGCTCCTTGCGCCGACGCGATTCTACGTTAACATAGTTGATGACATGATTCACAGTTAAAATTATTTGCAGTTTTTTCAACTGCTGAAGATATTTTGCTGATCAAATGACTATAGTAATCACTAATGGATGCAATACACGATCCAGTTCACCGTCAAGTTTGCAGCGCGCTCGAAGCGGCGTCCGGTAAACTTGACAGTGTATAGCTATCAGTGTGCATGACAAGTCTACTTAACCACCAAGTAAACTGCATCGTGTATGGCATTCATAACTTGCTATTTCTAAAATGTGTAGTACAATTAATTGTTCAATATACGCCTACAATCATTCCTGTCAAACGCCAATGGCTAGATTCCACTGTGACTGGTCGCCGTGACATAGAGCTTCGTGTTACTTACAGTGTAGTGACTGTGTATATATATCCACTATCCCGTATCGTCACGTGGGTGTCGCAAGGAGCGACTGTGGGAAACAAACCAGGAGATGGGCAGCAACGTCTTACTTATAACAACTAAAAAATACAAAACAATGTTCGGCAGTGGACTTTTGATATGCTGTAATGGTCCAGAGCATTTATCAATGGTAATGGTAAAGGTAAATGGTGCAGCAGTTGAGTTTACAAGTTGATGAGGGGGGTGGTATGAACCTAGAATAACAAGCACAATAACCTTTATCATCATCGTCAAACTCACCATGCTTCGATTGTCTCAACAAGCCAGCCCTATCGAGAATTCGGCAAGCCTCAAGCGCGCAAGCGATCACCGCCTCTTTTTTCTTGCCGCGATGAATAACTTCGGCTACTACGGGACGCCCACGGGCATCATCAATCGGCAACTCTACCCTGGAAAAAATACCCTCTTTAATGACGTAACATATTAATTTATAAAAAAGTTGCAAAATTCTTGACTAAGAAAATGAAGAAGTTGACTAAAGAAGTGTCACCAGCTATTTATCTCTTAACTAATAAAGATATACAAAAATTTCGAACTCACTTTTTTTTTGGTGGCTTAAAGCAAAAAGGATCGTAACAAAAACAATTTGCCAACAAAAAAAATTAGAAATAAACTGCTTTTTTTACCTAAAAGGGGAATTTTGAACACTATAACTATACTTTACATCATAAAAGATTCCATACTCTAATGTTGAACACCACTAGTAAACTAAATATTTAAATAAGAACTAATAATATTCTTACTATTTGAATGAGGAACAATATCAGGTATCAGCTTTATTAATTACTAGCTGATACTCGCAACTTCGTCCGCGTTGCTTGATATATTAACAAAGAAACCAGACATCGCTGGCCACGTAGTGCTTATAAAATTGTTGTTTCTTAAAACTTTAACAACTTTATATTAAATGAAGATATCGCATTTTTTTTAGATAAGGGCCAAGTGTCTTAGAATTAGAACTTTGATAACCTAAATAGAAATCTATCCAGCAGTTTCTCCGTGATGCGTGCACAACTGCAAACCTGATGATGGAATTCACAAATTATGGATCATAGGGGATTGTGAGAAGAATTATGGGATATACTTTTATAATATACACTAGTTACTACCACTGCTAGAAAAATTTACGGCACTACTGTATCATAAAATATCCAGTGTTAATTATGATCCATTAACAACAAATACAAATTATATTTTGGATTTTTACAGATTTATACAATAATACCGTCATAATTACATTATAAATTGTTTATACACATACCTACAAATGAACTGGCCCACACCCCTTTCTTCACAATTGTATGTCAACTCATGACCCTCCCGCTCAAAATATCCTCGCAGAGTCTTTTTTGGGTCAGTTAGGTATAGTTCCTCGTTAACAGTAGAAGCATATGGATTATCAGCCAGGTCTGGCTCCTCTTCCGCGTCCTCACCTAGAAAAAATATACCAATTTTTAAACAAAGTATCAACAATGTTAAAGCCCACAAATAAGAAATGGTAGAGCCATGCTGCAGCTATATTAGTAGTATAGTTGTAGCACGAATGGGTCGGCTCGACCGGGGAAGGACCACGCTCTCACAGAAAACCAGTGTAAAATAGCATCTTAACGCTGCTTAGTTTCGTATGGTGAGTGTAGAGAACCGAAGACCCTTTTTACTGGCAAAGGAGCATTCCATCTTAGTCCTCACGGGTGACAACGCATCTGCATCTTGAGTCTTTATTGACGTTAGATGTGAATGTCTATGGGTCACAGTAACCACTTACCATCAGGTGGACTGTGTGCTCGTTTGTCACCCAATCCTATAAAAAAAACTAGTGAAGGTGTACGAATCCACTGTTTCATATAATTCTGTGGTTGTCATAAGAGGCGACGGAGGGAAATATAACTCGAGATGAGTTGTAGTATCTTTCTAATGACTACTTAAAATAACTAAAACAACTGCTGTTACCAACGCACTTAGCTTAGCTCTAATTACTAAGTCTTATAACTTAGAAGTTCACACTCTTGTAATTTTATTTATGCTATCTGATAGCAAGTGTGATATGAAAAATTAACATGAGCAGAACGCTAAGACCTGTGTATAATCTGTTGGGTGATTTTGTTATAGGATATAGTGACAAACGAGAACACAGTCCACCTGATGGTAAGTGGTTACTGTGGCACATAGACATCTATCCTTGTTTGCGAATCAAAATGCAGATGCGTTGTCACCCGTGAGGACTAAGATGGAATGCCTCTTTTCCAGTAAAATGGGTCTCCGGTTCTCTACACTCACCATACGAAACACAGCAGTTTTAAGCTGCTATTTTACGCTGGTATTCTGTGAGAGCGTGGCCATTTGCCGGTCGAGCCGACCCATTCGTGCTACATTTATACTACTAATATAGCTGAAGAATGGCTCTACCGCGTATTAAATGATTGTTAACCAATTACAGATTTTATTTTAACTTTCAAATATTAATTATTTTTATGCTTATATTTTTAGCGTTGCTGGCATTCTCCTTTATTGTTAAAACATTATTGTTCTAATTAACCAACAAAACTATTACCAGTCATGAAAATATACCTTCACTGCGTGGCCGCCTATAAAATAAGTTATGACAAAAGATATAATATCTACTAAATAATGTATCAGAACATGATATAATTGAAGGTAATAAATGTCAATTATATTTCTTATCAAAATCATTATACAATGGCATTAACAATGTAAATAAAGTAGTAAATAGTAATTAAATAGGCTTATTACATTCATAAAGATTTGTCATTAGGGAAGTCATTAACATAGCATATTGCAGTAAATATTTTTTAAATGTTTTCTTAAATAATCTTGTATTCAATTGTTTAATGTCATTTGGAATTTTGTTATATATTACTGGAGCTTTGCATACTACACTTTTACGCATTAGCACTGTTTTAGCAGGGTGAGCACATAGTCTATTGTTGTCTCGGCGATTACGTCTTACATTGTCTGATAGGCGAGGAAACAAGTGTGGGTTGCTTCTAACAAGTAAAGCTATTTCCAATATATATAGTGACGGAAGTGTGAAAATTTTGTGTTTGATAAATAATGGCTTACAGCTCTCCGTACTTTGAATACCAAACATGGCGCGTATGCATCGCTTTTGCATTTTAAATACCTATGTAATCTGTGTTAGTTGAGTTAGCCCAAAAAATGATGCCATATCTGAGAACAGATTCAACAAGACCATAGTATGCCGAAAAAAGCGTATCAGTGTTGATAGTTGGAGCAAGTTTATGAAGGGCGTATGAAAGATTGCTGATTTTTTTACATAATACCTTAATGTGTTCTTTCCAATTTAATTTACTGTCTATGATTAAGCTAAGAAAATGGGTAGAAGTAACTTCATATATAGTATAATTATCATAAACCAAATTTACATTTAATGGATTTTGTGATCTTTGTTCAAAGTGCATTATATTTGTCTTCGTTAAATTGATTTTAAATTATTATTGTTTAGCCATGAAATTATAGATGTCAATGCGTTTTAATGTCAAATTTATAATAATTAATGTCCTTACATGCAATTGTAACAGTACTGTCATCAGCAAATAATGTAATAGGCTGTGTCGTTGCATTTGGCAAGTCGTTAACATATATAATAAATAAGAGTGGCCCCAGTACACTGCCTTGAGGCATGCCATATGATACATAGCGCGTCTTGGACGTGTATGTTTTTTCATTTTTGGTTTCAAGATTCATTCTAGTTATTTCTGTTATTTGTTGTCGATTATTTAAGTAGGAACGAATTAAATCTAAGACATTTCTAATACCGTAAGCGTCAAGTTTATTAATAAGTATATTATGGTCTACATAGTCAAATGCATGTGACATATTGCAGTAATTAGCACAAATGGGAGATCTTTTGTCAACCTGGCATTAATATTTTCAATAAATTCATAAATGGCCATATTTATAATTTTATTTGGTCGAAACCCATTTTGTTCATTGCACAAAATTTTGTGTTTTTCGAGATAGGAATTAATTTTACCATAAAGATATTTTTCTAAAATTTTCGAAAAGATTATAATATAGGTCTATAATTTTCCATTAACTGTTTATTTCCTTTTTTAAATAATGGTTTTATAATTGATAATTTAAGGTCTTTTGGAAATATTCCTGTTGATATACATAAGTTAATGATGTGACTCAGATGGTGGCATACATCCTCACTTACTGCTTTAATTATTTTTGTGGAAATACCATCGTATCCTACACTGTTCGTGTTTTTCAATGTTTTTATAATCTTATTTATTTGGTATGGTAAACTTGGTGCAAGAAACACTGAATTTAATTGGTGTTTAATTGTAGTATTTACCTTTTCCCCGGCATCCGGAAAGGGAATGACTTTTTCAATAAAATAATTATTAAACGCGTTAGCTATTTTTTTAGGATTATCTATGCAAATTCGATCATTAATTTTTATGTTGACAACAGTTTCTTTAGGTATATTGAGTGTTGTTTTGTTTATAATTTGCCACGCTGTTTTACTTTTATTATTTGAGATTTTTATAACCTTAACGAAACGTGCACAAAATAATTATAAATATTTTGTGCACGTTTCGTTAAGGTTATAATTTTTTTAAATGATTTACTATACTTTACATATTTTAATTTGTTCTCTTTAGTTGAATTCAATCTGAATTTCCAAAGCAATTGGTTTTTCTTTCTACTGCAAACCTTGACTCCATGGGATACCCACTTTGGTTTACTATTGACTTTTATCAAAACTTGTATTTGCGGAAAACAAAGGTCATAAAAAAGTTTGAAATCATCAATAAAATATTGATAGAATATGGTTGGGTCATTAGCATGGTAAATATTTAAAAAAGATAAACTTTTAATACACATTTTAAATTTTTCAATGTTTTCTGAGCTATAATCACGTTTTCTGGTACGCCAAAAATTTAACGTACCGCGGTACGCAAATTTGATCTAACAGCACGCTATTCATCGCGCGTCACTTATTTTGGTGTCAGACGTTGGTTAGTTAGTGTATATTGTATATAAACAATAGGTTAGAATTAGAAGACTTTGAAAACAAACTAAGTACTTATAATGCGACGCGATTATTTTTGATAATACGCCTATAATTGATTTATAATTTATATTAATGTTAAAATAACGTTTACATCATTTATAGACAGTCCTAAGCCTGAAAAGTATGAAGGAGAGTTCATTGCTTTTTCTTTACTGCTTTGTTTTTGTTTATCTTACACTAAAATGCGAAATATTAATAATTAATATTCTATGCTATACAGCATGCAGTCTGTACAATGTAATGTAACGTGCTACGAGATTTAGCATGCTGTGAGATATTTACGCCAGCCGGCCGCCCACACGCTTTCTTATAAATAACACATAGCGTATTTAATAGCGTGCTAAAAATTTATAATTTATAGTTTGTAGCGTGCTATTGATTTATAGCCATTTTAAACAATTCTATATGTGTGTAATATGCTTACAATTTAAGATTTTTTTTTGCTAGTAACAAAACATATTAGAAAAACCAAAATTCTCACCCATTCCCCAATCTATCCCTTGTTCTTCTCTTTTTTTCTCTTCCTCCAACCTTTCTTTTTCCATTTGTTCCTTTGCTTCTTGTATCATTCTTGCCCTTTCCAACTTCATATCATGAGCTTTTTGCTTTATTTCTGTCACTGTTAGCTCAGATTCTCCCTCACAATCAAAGTCTGGACCCTAATGGACAACGATATGGTAAGAATTGTTACAACTAAGAATTATCAAGGAAAATTATAATAACTCAGTCTGTTCGGCAAAAGTAGATAAATATTATGAAAACGTCCTGCACTAGCAACTGTCGCTTGACTATCGAAATTTGTGTGACTGTGTCACCGCAGGCACAGTTTTATGGTAAGAGGCTCGCATCTGTCAAGCTTGAGGCCAGGTGACCGAGCAGGCACCTATCACCGACATCTATCAGCCAAAATAATTAGCAGGTTATTTGTAAAAGTAACCATGTTTTGTTTGACGAGTAATGACAAACAGAAACCCTTTTCACAGGTAACAAGGCATTCCATTTTATTCCTCAGGGGTAAGAATGAATCGGCATTTGGATTCTTAATCAAGGATCATCATCATCTACATCTATGTCTATTTTCTACACCATCAACTTAATAGCCAGAGGATAGGATATGCATGTTTGTTTGTTAATTATAAATATTAGGACTAAAGATGCTAAGCAAACCAGTGGAAACCCCTTCAAAAATGTTTGGAAGCTATTAGTACATATAACAAAAAAAGTAATACATTACTAGCATAATGTACGTCCTGGTGCTGTTCCCAAACTTAATTTGATGACCAACTCTAACTCTGCTATAATGCTTTTCTTTTAGACGCTCGCGATTAAGAAATGTGCCGTGAGTGCTACCAAGGTCATACAGATACCAGCCACATGGAGGTTCACCCTCATCAGCAAAAGCTTTATATTGGAGAACTGAATGATGTCTGCAAAATAAAATATTTCTTTGGAAATAAATGGATTTTTACAAAGTCAAGTTCACTCTATTGAATGTTGTGATAAATTTATTAGTAATAATCAGCCTTAATCATAAAACAAGTTAATTTAAGAATGTTTATAAATAATATTATAGAAATATTATATAAAAGTTGCTCTCTTTCTGTTCACTACATGACAATAGTCTTTCTATATACTATTGTCATTTAGCAGCTATACAGATAATTATTAATATTAATACTTGATTAAACTAAAATTATTAGTGATATTCTGTGTTAGTACTAATAATAATCTTGTATGTGGTAGAGCCATGCTGCAGCTATATTAATAGTATAGTTGTAGCACGACTGTGTTTCGTATGGTGAGTGTAGAGAACCGGAGACCCTTTTTACTGGAAAAGAGGCATTCTATCTTAGTCCTCACGGCTGACAATGCCCTGCATTTGAATTCGCAAACGAAGATAGATGTCGATGTCTATGGGCCACAGCAACCACTTACCATCAAGTGGACTGTGTGCTCGTTTGTCACCCTTATTCAATAAAAAAAAATTATATACAGTAGTGGATTAGTAATTGTTGATATATGTTCATTGTTACAGGCATCTCAGAAAATGGTATAATCTAAAATTTAAGAACCATAATTTGCTCTTAGTGTCACTTCCATAACTGACTTGACATTTTTACAAAACAAGATTGCTCTAAATAAAAGGAAAAAGACGAAAAAAAAAAGAAAATGAACTGTAACTTTTTTATTAAAAAAAAAGGCTGGAAGCCTCAACTCAACAACAACAGAAAACATAAACATGTATAAATTCTTTTACCAGAATTGCTCTATTGTTTAGTTCTAATTTTAAATCATTAGTATACTCGTAGATAAAATCACTTAAAATAATAAAAAATATGATGATAAATAAAATTTACAGGATGGTGGGGATTTTCAGCCACATTTTTGAAAATTCTTATATTACAACTAATGTCAAGCACGCCACACACACCATCCTATAAAATATAACAAAAAATACTAAATTATAAATTCTTACATTCCTATTATATTGTACAATAAATACCTTGAAATAGTTGGATGTGCCATAACAACATCACAATTTGCTAACCTCCCAAAAACATAAAATGGTTTGTTGGTTAATTCAATTTTCTCTACAATCATACCTGACTTTAGTACTTCTAGAGCATACTCTGATCCTAAAATGAAAAATATGATAAAAATATGAGGATATTTTGGATTATTACAAATATTAAAATGTAATTCATTTATAAAACTAATATAACTTTATTGACATATTACCTAGGTTTGGGTATTATTGTCATAGAGTTAAGGAGGTGAAGAGAAATACTCCCTTTAAAGGGGTATTTCATTATTATTATTTGTATTATTATATTTCCCACCACCTCCTGGATTAATCCAGGATGGAAATGTATAGATTTAACCCTAGAACCTTACACGGGGTGCGGAAGCACCCCAGGGTGTAGTTTCTTAAATAATTCTGCTTATACTATACCTACATATTTCAGCTTTCGTGTGTTTTAGTTTAGTATTATTCATTACCAATTAATCAGACTAGCATCAACAGTCGCGCTGTGTGGAGGTGTCAACGAATGGCGTGGGGTAACTCAGCACTACAGTGTAGGGAAACCATAAATATTTTTAGTTTTTTATGTATTAAAGTTTTCCACATTTATTTAATGAATTAGTATATTTTGACAGGATTCTTTATATAACTTTATGTTAATGAAGTTATTAAAAATATATAAAAATCATAATTAACCGATTCGTTGCGGCACCAATTTTCGACAACTATTAGCTGTGGCGGCTAACAAATATTTCATGACGCGCCTGGCGTGTCGAGTGCCACAGACATTGATGACACGCCTATTGTGCCCTCAGCTATGTGTAGAAGTAATGTTCTTTTTTATGCTTTTTTCACTTGTTTAGACCTAATTAAGTTTAGTTGACATCAAACATCAGTTACAAACGGAAGGATACTTGTTTTTAGTGGGTAACTACGTGTTTTCTTTGAAATTGAGAGTAAGTGACTTTTTTTATGCAGATATTACAAATGTTTTGTACTATTTTTTGTTTTATAAAACAATCATTTATATAAGTAGGTACAGCTAAATCACCCTGGAAAAACTTGGTTTTTATTAAATTAAATTTTCACCTAATAATAATATTTGTAAATATCAAACAATCAAGAACCTTAATTTGGAAAAAATAAAGTTTATGATTAATTAAAAATAATAATATTTAACATTTGTAAATAACAAATGTTAAATATTATTTAATGTTATACAAATGTCAAAGTAAAGTCAAATTGAAAACATCTAATTAGTAAGAATAGCAAAACAATTGTTTTCAAAAGGAAATAAACGCCGGTGCTATACGGCGACGGATTGACGAAAGACTATTTATTAGCGAACTTTTTTTATGCATGAATGGTTTCAAACTGTTTCAAGCAAAAATAAACCTTATACCATATGACAAGAGCACATGGTACTTCGTAGGTCTATTCGGCCATATGATAGTAATAAGACGGCAGTTCAACCATTTTAAAATAAATTAAACAATAAGACAAACGCATTGTTTTTTTAACAGGAGACTTGTTTTCCAGAAATTTATTTACAACTTGAGTTTGTGAGCGATCGCAATGAGTGCTATTATTTGTTACTTATTAGACTATTTTTTACAACATGATTGAAAACCCACAAAGTAAAAAGAGTACCATGTACAAGTTAAAAAAAGGTTGTCAACCCCTAAAAATTTCGAATTTTCAAAATATCCAGGAACGAAGCTAAGCTAAGCATGAACTACTTGCAAAATAGTGATTATTTTGTTCTGGATAAATTTTCCAAAAACACAATTTGAGCGAATTATAACGATTTTTAAAAAGACACGACTCGTGTGTCATACGCCACACACAAAAGTAATCGATGGCACGCCAGGCGTGTCTCCACACTGAACGGGTTAAATGTGTTATTTTTGTAAAAGAAATGAACAACGGACATAAATGGAGATGGAATAGTGAAAAACCAACTAGGCATCAAATTGCTTAACAAATCAAAATTTTGTGTGTGACGGGCAATCGTTCTTGAGCAAATAATTAGCCGGAAAAAGTTTTTAGCATGTTTAGAGAAAAAATGGATTAATGTTTGTCAAGAAATATTCAGAGCTAAACTTTTAAAAACCAAATTTGAGGAGGCATATAAAATAGTGAATTAGAGCTGTCCTTAAAAAAAAAAACATTGGCCAATCAAAGTCCCGTTCCTGTAAATTATACATAAGGTTTGCTATAAGTTTTTCCCAAGAATTAAGAATAGAAAAAGCAAGACGACGTACCATACGAGTAAAATAAAAATTTGTATGGAGCAATGGATGAAAGTCTGTGAAAATGCTCAAATACATATTACGTTTAGAATTTGAGACTGATTTGTAATCTCAAGTTGCTACTATTTCATAATAAAGTAATAGCTTTACTGATTGGTTTCTATTTTAACAAATACAAACATTTTAGTATAGGGTACCTCTGCACCCCTGTGTAGGAATAACAAGTATGCCAGATAGTGTAGGGTTCCAAGGTTAAGTAATGATATTCTTAGTGAAATCATAACCTTATTTTTGTGCCAAAATTTTACTGTGTCACACAAATGTAGACTAGAGAGTGGAGGGGTCAGAAAATATATTCTTTAAGCTTCCTCTTCCCTCACAGAAATAAATAATTTTAGATTTTATTTGTAAAATGATAACCACAACTTTTGTGCCTAAGAAAAGGAGATACACTGTAACACTGAAAAAAGTGTCACTTTTAAACTATGCACCGGAGTGACTTAATAAAGTTCCTTGCCCCAACCTTACCCATCCCCTAACTTAACTCTATATAGGTGTCAAAAAATACGACAGCTTCTAAAACGGCGGAAATATTTGTAAAGTGGTGCCCCTTTCATCAAGATCCTTGCACTTTGCAAACTTCGTTAAAAGGATCTTGATAATATTGTTTTAACTTAGATTAGATTAGAAAAAAGAAAATTGATAAAGCTTATTCATATTTTTCTTTAAAAACATACCGTCAGGGCAAATTCCTGACCATTTAGGTTCTTTATAAGGTATAGGTGTCGAAAGCTCTCTTAAAAGAACCGCAGGTGGAAGAGAAGTCTTAGGATTAGATTCCGATGGTATCGTATCAACTTCTTCTGTTTCTTCTTCAACTACTTTACCAGTTTCAACTTTGGCCTTTTTGGGAAGTTTGCCAATACGTCCAAATAGCACGGGTTTCTTAAATTCAGAGCTTTCATTTTTGTTTTGAGACATTTCTTCCATTTCAGGTTATAGGAACTTAAATATTACTATTTATATTATTTATGTGCAACTCATTAAAAAAATCATTTGTGTAATTTAGTTATTTCTTTTTAAAAATGTAATTGAAAAATTAAATTTTGTTTTACAAATTCAGTACATAGGTATTATATTAGCAATAAAATAATTAGCTATTTTTTATTAATTTGTTGTTGACAGTCACAGACTACTTAGTGGATACTACGTATTTGACAGTTGACTTCTATTCAACTTGGTGAATTAAGAGACACACAAAAGTCTTTGACCATACAGCCTTGTCTGATTTGTATTTAATTTTATAAAACTCTACAATAATATGCTAATGCGTCACATTACGTTTTTTAGAAGAGTTTGACGAAAGATTAATCCAGTAGACAGCTGATAACGATAATATCTTAGGGACCCGAAGTGGATAAAAGCCTAAGATTTATATCATCATCGAAGCACTTTTTATACCATTTCCATTTCTACTAATAGTTTACATGGGCAGAAATTTTAAACACAAAATCGTATTTATTTTACATATCAAAATTCACTTCAAATTATTATTAAAACGATAAATCAGAACCGGCATTCCACCGGTGATCTAAATCCAATCATAATTAAGACTTTTGTTTTCCACCTTATTTTACCATTGATTTACGAATGACAAAATTTACATTATCTAAAAATTGTTAGTATTTTGAGAAAGAATTATGCAGAAATATACCTCGCATACCTTCCCAAACTTAAACTAAGTACTAAGTCCTACAGATATGGTAGTACAATATTATATTACACTAAATAGATCTCCGACTTACAGGTCTATTACATCGGGCTATATTCTATACTTGATATTTAGATCATGATAAAAACTAATAAGAAAGCTCTTTATTACTCTAAATAAACGGAATATCTCACTTTTATTCGCCAAAAAAATCAGAGAAGGTGCTTCATATATTTATACCGATTGTACCGAACAATAAGTGGTTTGTTTGAACGATTGTTTCAAAGAGTACCACAACTACTAATTATTGATGTTTAATTTTTAATAATAAAGTTTTATCTTAATGGGTTTATTTTTTATTTTGTAATAGTGTCACCCTAATTATTTGCTGAAGTTTTGTTTACCTACTTATAATCCATACCTACGTATAATAAAATAGTAATCCCACCCAAAATCATGCAGAGAAGTATTTATTAAGTGAAATTGATAAAGTGCATAAGTATACATTTATCAGATGTCGAACAAACATGCTAAATAATACGAATATTAAATTATATAAAAACATAGATTATATTATGAACAAAGAATTCAACGGCAATAATGTTGACACATCGTGCATGAGCAGTCTCTCAGAATATTTTGAATATGTAGATAGGGGATTGACTAGATAAAGCATCCGCGTATGCTTTTGAGATAGAAATAGGCGGGAGGTACTTTCACTGGGTTACCAGATATTGTTCCATTTCCCCCGTTATGGGTTTATTTATATTTACAGCACTTACATTCATACAAAAAACTTAATTGTTACCATAAAAAAATGTTCTTTTATAATTCAGATGATTAATTAATTTCTCTTGAAAATTCATTCTGTGACAAAAACTACGGACGGAAACGGCGTAAAAACAGAATTATCATTCTGTATTCAACGGCGCATCGACGATTTTACTGGACATTCAATAAACTCTTTGGATTTCGACGGCACTAAGTGAAGGCGCTTATAACACAAAGTGTGATATCGCTAATAAATAACAATATGTTATGTATGTACTTAAATATTAATTGAGACTAAAAATATTAAATAATAAACAAAAATTTCCTTGTGTCAGGTTTTGTTGTTTTTACAAAAAAAATCAATAATGTTTTAACATACCATTCCATCACAAGTTCAGTGCTGAACATAGACCTTCGAAAGGAAAGGGTTTCCACTTAGGTTTTGTAGTACAAAACACGGTTATGAGCCTACATGTTTTGCTAAGTTAAGTTAAGTAAGATTTTAAATTAATTATTTATTTATTTTCTTTAAATCTTTATTTGCATAAAACATGGTAGTACAGATAAAGTTCCAACATTTGTAAATGAGGATTCATGTTTAATCAATACATCTATAAGTAAATATTTTGTCATTGTCATGCCCCCAATTATTACAAGTCATAATAATACAGAATGTCAGCATTTGAAAATAAAATAAGCAATGCTAGTCAATTTTTAATACATACAGAACAATGTCAAAAATAATAACTACCAACAAGATCAAACTTATGTCACTTATGGAGAAACAAAAAGATACAACAAGAAATTATAACATTTAAAAAAATTATCTTAATTATATTATAAATTACATAATTTAAGCATATTTAGTCCATCTAAAACAATGAGGCTTAAAATGTTTTGAGCATACACTGCTAAGTTTAGTTGGTTACCTATAAGCACTACCAGTAGCGATTATCCAACTGCTACGGAGATAGCTGATTCCTTAGGAAAGCTGTGAAATAATATATTTAAAAGAAATTAATATATTAAATATATAGCACACTTTTATATCAAGGTATTTAACAAAAAAAAAATCAAGTATGTGTATCTGTGCATAAACACAATACCTATAACAATTAAAACAATATCAATTGATTTATTTAAATAGCAAGTATATATAAATGTAATGATAATATTATTCATACCAAACATTTAAAAAAATTATGTACATATTAAGCTTTAGATATTGTTAATTAATACATTTACAGCCTAACAAATGTCCTCCACTGCTGAACATAGACCTCCCACACAGTTTGTCTCCAAATAACTGTAGTTGCCAATTATCCTGCCAAGCTAGGCAGCTATCACAAAACCTATAACTTTTGATACTGACTAATGGTAACGGTAAGTATGTTATCATCAAATTTTTTCTACATCATTAATTGAGAATATTATCTTATGTTGTTGTGTTATTGTGTACCTTAAGATTAAGACTTATTTATTTATTTATTATTTTATCTATATTTATTTTTATTTTTATATTAGCATGACATTTTTTTTTAATAAATATTGTAATGTAATTTTTGCTAATGTATAATAGAATGAATGGAATGCAATAAAGTTTTGTGCATCTGATTTCAGGCAATACATATTTTGTGAAATTAAATATACTATGCCCAATATTTATGTACTTGAATCCAAACATGTTTTCAGCTTGATACTTACATATTATTTGTGAAGTCTACGTAATATGGAAAATGATTGAAGAGTTGTAGGGCAATAAGGAGTTTCCTTTAAAGCGGAACATAAAAGTGTATGTATATATATATAACATTATGTGATTCATATTTATGGATATAACTTCTAATCACAATAACAATTATTATTGAACAATGCGAAAACATTATTGTACTCGCTGATATCCCTAAAGTTTCTATAATCCTACCAAATCAAAAAGTACACATTTGTTATGACTTTAAGCATTCGAATGACCGCTTAAATTAAGGAGCATTATCATGAAGAATTTACAATTTGGGAGACCAAATATTTGACAAAATACATCACAAAGTTCATTAAAAACATGAAATGTTACACTTTATATTTAAAACAATAGATATTAATCAGTACAAGTAGCAAATGTAAGCACAAAACAAACTTACCGACGAAAAGTAATATTATCAATTTTTCGTTGACTGATGCTGTTGCATCCTAAAATGCTACAACTTACCATCTTTTTCACCTTACCTAATAACTAAGATCCACAAAAAACACTAAATTCAATTATCTGTTTGCTTATAATATCAATATTATTCAAAAGAGCTTGACATCGTTAATGTCAAATAAAGGAGGGAAAACAATCAAAAACGCATACGTAGAAAAAGACAAGAAATATAGATTTGCTTCTCCTTTACTCTTATGTCCAACTATATACGTGCATTCCTTTCACACGCTGATGACGTCACTGAATGTTTAGTCTATAAGATACTATGTCTATGTTTGAATAATACTATCCAAACGTCAACACAAACGCTTACCAGTGCCACCACCACGTGCGTTGCGTTTACCATTATTTACATAGGTTTTTGTTATAAATGAGGTTTTTGTAATGAAAAACACATTTGATTACGCCTTTTCTATTGTATTCCACAAAAATATTAACTGGCACTCAGGTGATGTTTTTTAAATTTTAGTAACAACGAATGGGCTAAAGGCCTGTAGCCGATGGCAAAAGTAACAATTAAAAAAAATGACGGAATGAACGGACGGAATTAGAATGAGGGAATGAGGACTTTTTATTTAACGCTATTAAAAAAAATATGAAAAGAATGAACGGAACGCGCCATATCATCAGTCAATCAATCAATCAATTCAACAAACGAATTTTTGCCGACGGCTTACATTACTGTTACTGTTAAATGATTTTGTTTGTGAATTATTTCGGTCATAAAAAAATTATTAACTATATGCGGTCTATATTTAGTGCTCAGTTTAAATGTGATTTTAAGTGACAAAGTGAGTGATCACATTGTTTGATTTGACTTCATGACAAGGTATGTAGTTACCTGCAATTAGAAAAATTCTAGTTGATAATATTTACATTATGTTGATATTCTTTGAATGCAAGTTGTTCTTAGAAATGTCAGTAATCATTTTGCTAAACATGTAATAAACACTAAGAAAAAAGTAACGTATCTTTTTGGTTAGAATTTCCTATCTAAGATATTGAATCAGTCCATTGTTTATCTAAGTGAAAGTGCGTTATTAAACTATTGAAACTTGTGCAATTTTTATCGTTTGCATTTTACCAATAATTCAATTCTATATGGCACTTTTGCAAGTTCGAAGTGTTCGATTTACGATCTTGCACCGAACAATTTTTAATGCGTATTGCTTCTTACTGCGTAAAGTTATTCATTTTTAAAAGCTTTTTTATTATTATGGTAGTTTCGAACAATTTTTTATCAATAAGCTAGTCTGATTGGTTTGTGTGTGACTCGAACTTTAGGCCTAGTCAGTTTGAATAGCCTAT